TATATATATAGTAACAATATGAATCTCAAATCCTCGAAAAATTAAAAAAAAAATCAAATCATTCCAGAATCCCAAATAAATATGTAATCCCGCCTCCACCCCGAAATAAACCCAAGACAACAGATAGACGAAATCGTTTGAAAAATGGAACCCATCTCGAAAAAAGAGATCCCAAAACGAAACATTTTTCTCAGAATGACTCCCAAAATCATTCATTCCCAATTCGCAAATCATATTGACGAAGACATACATATATACATACATATTCATTCTCTGCCACCCGCCAAGCTGACTCATTCGCGACTCCACAGTGGCACTCTTTCGGGCCTTCAAAGTTGTGACACGCGCCAGGCCAAGCACATTCCACGACACATCCTGTTCGAGCGTCTTCTAAGGGATGCTGGTCCAGCACCTTAGGGACGAAATGAACCCTAAGATTGGGGTCATATACCCTACTACTACGATAATTCCTATTCAGGTTATACGAATCTTCTATGAACCATAAACCCTTTTAGGGTTCATGTCGTCCCCAAGGCAGTAAAGCACTGTGCAGCTTCTGGGCGCAGAGTGAAGCCATGTACCCCAGCCAAGAGACGCTAACATGTCATAGGGACCCCAAAATTGAAATGGCTACATTAGGGTTTAGGGTTTGCAGGGTTTAGGGTTTAGGGGCTACCCCGCGACTCGTCTTAATGGCAACCCCCAAAAATCTGCAAGATCACCGGGGCAGGCTCGACTCTGAGGCCAAGCGTTGCAGGTTGCATGCAGGTTCGCATGCAAGTGTAGGGATTATGCCTGTCCGTTGTCTTAGTCTCCTGAGGGTCTAGGAACCAGAGCGAATTTGGGAATTAAGCTCTCCGTGTGGCTGCGTGGTAACTACCACGCCGCTTACATCGGACAGACCCCGTCCCTTCATTCTGACTACGTGACTGATTACATGTGACATGGACTCTGCAAACCCTTGTAAGGACTGCAGCCGCCAACAAAAATGTGCCATCCAGTGTGCCCGCAGGCAGAGAACAACAATTTGCCGGAGTGCCAACGAGAGGGACAGAAGCCCGAGTGATGTCACCATGATCCCTCAACACGTTTGCACACTCCCAGCTTTTGGCATGGATGTGACTGCAGCCTGCACCGTGCTTGGCTCACACTGCAGCTGGCCATTAAAAATGTTTATCTCCAGGCACCGGTGAGAAAGGGCCAACAGCCACACCAGGACCACGAGGCATCATGCAGATAGAAAAGTTTACAGAAGCAAAGATACAAATAAAACATAGAATTACATTATATATAGTATATGTATATATATATACACATATACATAAAAATATATATATATGTATGTATATGTATATGTATGTGTAGATATATATATATATTTTTTTTTTTTTTGCACCTCGTTGCGCTTCTAGGACCTGATGCGGCCTCCCCTAAGAAAGGGGGGCCCGGGAGGGGGAGGGGGAAAGGGGGGGGCAGAGTAGGCTCTCGCGAGGCAAGAGGCGAAGCAACTCTCCGCCCTTCTCAAGAGAGGGTTTAGGGTTTAGGGTTTAGGGTTTAGGGTTTAGGGTTTAGGGTTTAGGGTTTAGGGTTTAGGGTTTCGGCACTCGCATAGCAGGGTTTAGGGTTCAGGGTTTCGATCGGTTTCGGGTTTAGGGTTTAGCAATGTCGGTATCGGAAGTAAAGATGCACAATCCCTGATAGACCCTAAGTCTTCGCCAGCTCCCGGCCGGAACCTGCAGCCAGTCATGGCTGCTTCTTCACATGAAGCAGGGTTTATATTGCTGATTACTGTTATTGGTGAGTGCATATAAGGTTCCTTCTTTAATATTCTATGCCCTACTTCACATGTACCGGCAGAAGTGATGACGGTGTGCCTGTCTTGATGAAAGACGCTGGTCAGGCTGCAAGCGGAGCAGGCCACTGAGGAGTTCATCCCCTCGATGGGCGTAGAGCTCTGGCCGCACCTCGAAAATGTGCTTCAGTCCTGTCGCTGGCCATGTCGGGAAGCTCTCGTTGAAATGGTAGAGCTGCGTACCATTGGGCCAATTCGTTGGTGAGGGCGTGCCCAGGAGCTGGAAGATCCTGAGCAAAGTGCCAACTTCGGACTCTCCTGGGAACAAGGGGCGGCCGGTGCACATCTCTGAGATCACACAGCCTGACGACCAGCAGTCCACCTCAAATCCATAGGCTGTTGTGCCAAGGAGGAGCTCCGGACTCCTGTACCAAAGCGTGACCACTTCCAGCGTCAGACTGGTCAAGGAACTGTTTTGCATGCGTGCCAGGCCAAAGTCTGCTATCTTCAGGACGCCGTCGGTGCTAATGAGAAGGTTCTCAGGCTTCAGGTCGCGATGAAGAATGTTCCTGCTGTGACATGCAAACAGGCCATTTAGCAAGTTCGCGGAGAAATGTCTAACTTGCTGAATTGGCAAGAAGTGAGAAGTCTGCTGGCACAGCGTGAGCACCTTGCGAAGGTCAGTCGGATGAAACTCGAAGACCATCTGAATTTGAGCATCGCTAGAGTCCACATTCGCATCGAGCAACCGCACCACGTTGGGATGCGTGAGCTTGCGCAGCAATGACAACTCCCGGACTGCTTGAGCTGGGATGCCATCAACCCACACCTCCGGATCATACAACACTGTCTTCATGGCCACGACACACTTGGTGCTTACGTGCTCGGCTTTCGTGACCTCGCCGTAAGCACCCTGGCCGAGCTCCTCCAACACCAGGTAGTCACCACACAAGCAGAGACCTCGTCCCTCATGCAGTGCGCGAAGACCCGGGTGTCTGGCAATGATCTCCCTGCTGGCAAATTGAACTGCACGTCCGCTCTCGGCGACGGCCGCGAGCACGATCTCGTCGTCGTCCTTCAAGTGCTGCTGCGCATACTTCAATGATTCCCCGTCCTGCTTCACGGCTGCCAAGACAATCTCCCGGTCTGCCTTTAAGGGTGCATCGAGGAACTCAAGAAGTCGGCCTTGTTGACTCACAGCAGCTTCAGCTGTCAAGCGGTCGCTCAAGATTTCATGGCAGTAGCTGTCTGCATCCTCCACATGCTTCAGCACACAGGCAATCATCATCTGTACTTTAGGGTCCAGGTGAAAGAGCAGTCGGTTCAAGCTGTGTACTGTGTCAAAGTCGAATCGCGGACTCAGCTCAGAAAGCAATTGGAGTGCAGCTCGCTGGACATCCCAAACAGGGTCGTTGAGTATCCCAATGACTTTGCGGAACAACATCTTGGCCTCATTCTCTGTCTCGAATATGCTGCGGTTTACTGACTGAAGGGCTGCTACGCGCTGCGTGGCATCGTCCCCGCACCCAAGCATACGGAGAAACTCTGGCAACCCAAGGCTTTTGGGAGTTGCGGGAACTTCCTCCTGAAACATCTCGGCTGAATTTATCGCCGCACTCTTTGTTTGTTGGCTGGCGCAGCAAGACGTCGCAGATGCGCCCACGTGAAGCACCACACGCAAGGAACATGCACGGCCCAGGAACTGATGGTAAACTCAGGACTGATGGGCTTGCGGGTTGCTTTCGGGATTCGGGGCGTCGAGCTTCTCCTGGAGCCACTAGACACTGGAAGCACTGGGTTTTGATGGTCTTGCCTCTGGTGACCTGACCAAAACTGCGACTTGAGCCAAACTGGCGTTCGCACACGGCCCATCGAATTCTTCAGGCTGGTCACACCCATGCGTGCGGTGATTGCAACGATGCCACCGGTGTTCTGACCGATTCTGAGCACCTGCGCAAGCCCAGATACAAATACCTTCGAACAGGCCACCGCGTAATTTCACACACACACACACACACCACACACCACACACCACACACCACACACCACACACAACACACACAACACACACAACACACACAACACACACAACACACACAACACACACAACACACACAACACACACAACACACACAACACACACAACACACACAACACACACAACACACACACACACACACACACAACACACACAACACACACAACACACACAACACACACAACACACACAACACACACAACACACACAACACACACAACACACACACACACACACACACACACACACACACACACACACACACACACACACACACACACACACACACACACACCCACCCACCCACCCACGCACGCACGCACGCACGCACGCACGCACGCTTTGGGGCTTGCAGCGGCAGCCAAGAAGCAACTTGACCCCTACCCTCCAGTCATCTGGTGATCAGCCCTTTTCAGCAATCGCTCGCCGCTCTCAGCTACAGCTGAGCTGACCCAGGCAGGCATATTCCTACAGCATTCTTATAGCTCCCTGTAGTTTCATGGAGTCCCTTTTCTCACGACCTCCTGTGCTGGAAGTAGGTTCCCCAGAGCCAGGGTTCTTCAGCCTGGGCCAAGCACGGCAGCACGACTACAACTGCCCCCAAAACCTACTGGTGCTCAAGGGGGAGCAGATGAATATAACAACCCTTATAGAGCCTCCATAATGGTACCTATACTCACTCCTCCACTCCCCCGTACGCACCGGTATTTAAAAACTAAAAACTGCCAAACCATACCCTCCACCAACCATTAGGACACAAGTACCTACGAATAAGGACCCTCTCCCCTCCTTAAAGGTATTTGGAGGGGTAAGCCATTGACATGCAGACCCAAAACTTTGCCCCCCAGGCCTGAAACCACCTTCTTCTTAAAACGGATCACCTCTGTCGAAGAAAGGTCCGTTCCTGAAAACAAGGTACCTGCAAGAATCCCTGGCTTAAGGGTGGCTTGGGGCGTGGTAAGGAAAGCCCTATGTAAGCCCTAAAAGGGCTTTCCGCGCCTTTGCGGGCAGGGTTGGCCATTTTTCTCGCTGAGCACGCCGCTCCCGGCGCAGCTCCTCGAGACGCGGGAGCGGAGGCCAAGCATGAAAACGCCATGTTGCTGGCCTATTCACGGGGCCAAGGCTTACATTGTATGCTGAGATGAGTGGATGAGCCACAGCAGGAACAACATTTTCCTCTCCGGCGCTGTAGAATGTGCCATAATTCCCAGGGCTGAGAGTACTCAAGATCTTCATCCCAGGGCTCGCCACGAAGAAGGAAGGCAGGTTTAGGGCTTTGGGACTCATGGCCTCTAGAAAAGAGCCCCGCTATCGGATCAACAGCCTTTTGCAGAAGCACGTTCCCCAAATGTGGCTCGAGCAAAGAAGCTAGAGAAACATCTAGCAAGTGCTTGGCCCAATGCCCCTCTAGAACACCCCTTCTTGGAGAAATTGAAAAACAACATCGTGAGTACTGTGGGGGCCTAGACAATTACCAATTAATGATTTTGAGGTCCATTTGAGGTACCCTATATACCATAGTTGTACAAGGAATATAATCCATAATATCGGTAACTATTCTGGCTTCTATAGTAGTAAGACACTTCCGGCTCCTTGTAAATGAACAAGATCATCACCAAGCCTCGGACCAATTGCTTGTGAGCTGCCGGCGGCTTGCGCATGGGGCGTGACTCATGGGGCTCAAAGAGTGGAATGATGAATGGCCCCCAAGTAAACGAGTTCATAACAAGGGTGCTTCCTTCCCCACCTTAGTTCATCCCACCCCACCATGAGCTACGGGGCTTCGCTTCTGTTTGGCCGGTGTCTAGTTGCGTTTTTTCGTAGGCCTATGCCTCCCCCTCTCGGGAGCTGGCTGGCCGACATGCAAAAAAAGCTGCCGGCAGCCAACCCTGAAAGTCGGCCGGCAGTTGTTCTATTTTACCATTTACTATTTCCGGCTTTTTACGTCGCGGGCAGCCAACCTGAAAAGGTCGGCCGGAAATCCTACTATTTTGCTGCTTACGATCTCCCGCCTCAGATCTCTTGAGATTCAATTATAACGGAAAGGAGAAAGATTCTGTGCTGCGCGGGCAACCAACCCTGAAAGTCCGCCGGCAGTTTTACTATTTTACCCTGCTTTGCTCCTTCCCGCCTTGGACGGACTCCCCCTGCCACACGGGTCTAGGTAGCTTCAACATGCTTGTCTGGCAAGATTCTGGCACATCTCTTGACCCTTCAGCGAAATGAAGGAGCCCTGTTGATCGATTTCTGCATCAGATTGGGAAGCATCCCTTTCCCTAATCCCGTTTTCAGCAAATCCCATACATCACTGAGGTGCAGGGATCTGGCAAGGCCCCGGAACCCTAAGCCCTGAACCCTAGACCCCTACGCCTAAACCCCGCAAAAGGGAGGGCTCATTTAGACAGGCAAGGCCGCAAGTGAGGCTCGCCAGGCCGACGGTAGAGAAAATCATGAGGATCTCCACCAAAACCATGTGGCCCCAATAACTGTCATATGCGGTCCTCGGGCTTTGGGGGTTTAATCGCTCACACCCGGACAAACCAGGCGAGCCAGTAGGTCCACAGAGGGCTTATGGTCTTTTAGAGGTTTAGGTGGTTGCAATGGCCGCCCTGGCACTCCCACATACCCTGTAGCTCCCGCTTACTGCAAGAGGGCAGCAGGCCGCTCACGATGGCGGTCATGAGCCCCGCCGTCGCAAGAAGCGTGCACTCTGTGAGGTTGAAACGCATCGTCTTGTAGGGCCTGCGAGAGGTGGCTCCCGCAAAGTGGTCTATCTACCCCCTAGAATGCTGCAATCCGTAATCCCTGCCCGAACTCCGAGACCTACTGCGGCCTGTGGGATTTAGAGGGCTTGTGAGGGTAGACTTAAGGTTGAACAACCTGTAAACTTGGGCTTCCTAAACAACCCTCTCATTCTGGCTAGTGTCCTTGCTCGTGGGATAAAGTGGCGGCTTTTGTTCATGAGCGTGTGGGCGTTACGGCTTATGATTCAAGAACGGCGTGATCGAGCCCGTATTCTGCTGACCTAGCATGCGCAACAAAACACTTCCCAGAAAGAGCCGAGCAGCAGCACCCCGGCATAAAGAAAGAGGGAGAACATGACGACGTTTGCTATGCAGACCTGCTCAGCAACCGGGAATGCTTTCGCAAATGCCCCGGAGCCACTAGCGGATCGCATGTTCACAGCGCTGAAAGTCCCACGAACCCACACTCAGTGAGATCCACAAGCACAGCATTTCAAAATCCCTGTTCCAAAAAAGCACCGCCCCCACCAGTTGAAGTGCGGGCGAGGATGTGATGGGCAGGGCGGACGCTGCGAGCGTCAGCAGCATCTTCCTCTCCAAAGGCCGAAGGGCAATTCGGTTTCATCATTCACGGGCTTAGGCCTTTTTGGGTCTGGGGCTTAGAGGTTGAAGGTTCGATGTGCCCGAAGAAACCCCAAACTCGCCGCTGTCATGCTTGCAAAGCTGTAGGCCATAAGACACCAAGCCCCTAGCCACTAAACTCTGGCTCAGGTTAGTCCCTAAGCCCCCTAAACCGCATAGTTGGGGGGAGTGAATATGGGTACCTTTTTGGGGGGTTACCATAAGGGGATTACTGTAGGGATCTACTCCCCCACCCCCTCCCAAAGCGGTCCTCAGAAGCCGCTCCGACTCCCAAAGCCGCCAGCTCTTCCGGTAGGCGCGGCTCAGGAAGATGACGTGAAGTGGTGGGTGGGCTTCTTCCTCCTCCGCAAGGGTTTAGATTTTGATTGCCAGCCGCATTGCACTCACCACCATCGGCGTCCGCTCTGCAGGGACTCTTCGAGGCATTCGTTCGCATCAATTAACAGGTTCGTAAGGAGAGGGAGTCACGTTATGCCCAATCGAAAAACTGGAGTTACATGGTTCTACCCAAAACGGGCGGGAGGAGCGCCGAAACATCTCCCAACCCTGCCAAAAGATAAATCTCAATTCTGTATTCCGACACGGGTGTGGCTGGATCGTCACCTTCCTACTGGCCCAGCAGTGGTTGCTTCATTACAGTGTATAATCCTATACCACAACAAATAACACCCCACCCACTGCATTCAAGAATAGACGATGGGAACATGCAGCATCCCATTCACTGTCGATTTTCAGGGTAGTCAATCAGCTTTCTGCGCCCACAGCCGGTTGACTTCTCCGAGACTGTTCCACCAGGGCATCAAGACATCCAAATATAGATCCAAACAATGACACGACACGGTAGAGATACTCTAGGGTAGGGCACTCCAGGGACACTCTAGGGTTGGACTCCAGGGGTTGGGCACTCCCGTCTTCACAATGTCAAGGCAAAATGCCTCTGTTTTGGCGCGTGAATGGCCCTCGAGCCTTCAAGCAGAAGCTCCACCGGGCTCACTTGGTCTGGCGCGCAACGTTGAGGGCTTCACGGGTCTGAAAAGAGCGGAGCCCTGCAAACATGCTAGTTAAATCCCTTGCCCACTGTTCATGCCGTCCTGGAAATGTGCAAAGTGAAGATTTTGAACAAATCGAACTTCTGCAACTTACAGAACTTCCAGAACTTCTGAACTTCCAGAATCTTTAGAACGTCCAGAACTTTTGAACTTTTAGAACTTCTGGAACTTTCAGAACTTCTGGAACTTCTAGAACTGTTAACACTTTCAGAACGTTAAGGACTTTTAGAACTTGTAGAGCTTTTGGAACTTTTCGGCCTTTTAGAGCTCTTAGACTGTTTAGAACTACTTTGCAACCCTTACAACTTCTGGGACCTTCAGAACTCTTATAGCCTTACATCTTTCCCCATGCAAAACCACGAAGACACAACAGGATGTTTGGGCTTTCGTTCCAGAAGTTCTAGAAGTTCTAAAAGCTTTTAAAGTTGTAGACCTTGGGAAGGTTGGAAGGCTCCTGGAGATACAAGAGTTTCTAAAGCTTCAAAACTTTTAGAGCTCTTGGAACATTTAGAACCTTTAGGACCTTCAGAACTCTTGCAGCTTTACATCTTTCCCTGTGCAAAAGCATGAACACAAACAGGATTGTCAGACTTACAGTAAAACCCCACGGGTCCCAAATGCAACCAAGACATCCCCACGCGCCCCAAATGCAACCGACCAAGATCCAAACATAAGAGCGGAACCGCGTCTCCAGAATCTGGGTAAACTGCTACAAGTATAGTTGGAAGTGAGGGATCACATGTGTGCGGATTCATAGAGGCATCCAGGTAGTTTAGCGGAGTTATTGCCACACCAGCCTTGGCAATCAGCAAAACCAAGACCAGAGACACTGCGCAAGTTCGTGGACATGTTGTGTGTGGCCTTTTGGCAGATTGCTGCATTGCAACCCCCGCAACCACACATGCGACGGGGGTCGCAAAGGAAGTTAGGTGCGCACCACACAAGTGCAAGCGAACAACTTTTTCATCCCCTCAGCCCCAATCCTCCCCAATACGGCTTGAGTGAAGCCCCCCCTCTCCCGAGAGTAGCCGGCCTTCTTTGGCAGTGAGAGGCTGATCCATATGTAGGACGCCATGACGAAAACCAAGACCATAACCACGCGCATGGCATGGCGGTGACGCTCTTCCTCCAGGAAGGGGCACTCAAAGGTCCTCTCCGCCATGGTGCTCTCGGGTGCAAACTGGAAACCTGAGTTCATCGGCGTAGCAAGCTGACTTGATGTTGTCCAGTTTGCTTTCAGCTGTGTAACCTTGCTTGCGTACTCCTGCACATTGGATGCGCCGGCGAAACTAAGAGAGCGACAATAAAGATATTTGCCGAAGTAGCTGAAGATCTCGGGAAAGAAACAATTCAGGCCTGACCACGCTGCTACGTTGTTCGAGCAAGTGTGGCAAAGCAAGCAGAACGAACTCCTTCGACGATGTTTGACGCCTTGGATACTGCGGGCGCCCTCTGTACTCAAGCCTGTTGAGGCCCAACTCGCTAGCGGGTCACTCGTAGGCAACAAGTTCGACCTCCCCGCCCCCTGCCTACAACAACGGCGACGCCGCGCTGCTCGACGGGAAGCTTCGCTACAAGGCCCAACACAAGGGCCACCGGAATAGCCTGGGAGGTGAGCTTGAGGCTTCAGGATTCTTTTGCTGAGGTTCTTGGGCTTTGAGAGATTGGGTCCAAAACGTACTTGAAGTGCCGAAGCAAGCACAAGCTTGTGCTCGCGCAATGGTGAGAAGGAAGTCGAATCTGCGCCAGGCTCTAGCTATCATCTCGGGGTCTCCAACAATTACAAAGCCGCAATCGTATTCAATCTTCGCAAACTGAGGGGTCCCCGTCTATGCCCTCAAAGTATACCACCATGCCATCCTTAAGTATCCCCACAAAGAAAGATCCCTAGTCTTTTGGAACGACCCGAATAAGTTGGATGATTGAGTTCCGCTGGAGTTTGCACTGCCGGGTGGCCGCGTGCAGCAGGTGAGCTTGCCAAAGTCCGCCATGAAGGTTCAAGTAGGACAGCAAGCAAAGCGACGAAATGCCGGAGCTGCCGGAACCTATTGCTGCAAAAGGGCAAAGGTTGATCGCACGCCACATGCCCACGCAAAATCATGATGGGCTTGAAGAGCTCGTCTGAGTGCAGCACATGCGCAGAAAACCAAAGCCAGCAAGCAAACAAACGGAGAAACACACGATCAGGCGAAACAGAGAGAGAGAGAGCGAGAGAGACAGAGAAGTAAACAAACAAACGAAAAGCATGAACACAACCACTGCGCCTTCGGACACTCCCTGTCCTGCGATCATTTCCATTGACACGCTGGCCATCGTAAGCAAAAACTGTCCGAAACTTGCCTGGGCCGCACTTGGGTAGTTGACCGGATCTTCAAGGATGCAGAAGGCTTTCTTGGCTACGCTCACATGGTGCGCGCGCGGGGTACGGTGCCACACAGGTGCAGACGCAGACACCCACACACTTGCCAAACCTTCCAGGCAATCTGACGAGTGTCCAGCCCGCGGCTGGTCTCCTGCCTGATCTCTCGCATTGCATTGGTCTGGGCAACTACCGCCAAAAGGGTGCCGGCAACCGTGGCAAAGGACATCAGTTGGTTTATCAGCACGCCACTGCGCTTGGGTTCCTCACATCAGCACACAGAACCCCAGCATACCCTGCATGCTACGTCATGACAAGCGTTTGTCAACTCCAGAATGGGGGGTCTTCAAAAAAGTCATCCTGGAGTTGAGACGCATGTCCCTAGAGCTGGCATGACCGTGCCCTCGACTGAGTTACTCAATCTAGCTGTTCGTGTCTGACTGCTGTCTACCCTCCCCAAAGGTCCGCAAGTGAATTCCATGAGACTACTGCGAGCATGTCACCAACACCTCACCAATACCTCCCCAGCGCCTCCCAAGCACCTCCCCAGCGGCTCCCCAACACCTCCCCACCTCCCCAGCTCGAGATTACAAATTTAAGTGATGCTTTGAACATTGGGGTTTCTGCAGAGCCATTTATGTCACATGCAGCAACACAGCCAATCTAGCCTCTAATTTCCCAACAACCCATAAAACTTTAAAAAATGTTCCAACTCACGGCCAGGGATAAGGAGTTTACTGCAGATGCCCAGCGTCTTCAGCACCCTGCACTTGCAGCGCTCCGTTCGCTGCCATGCCGAAGGGCACGAGGTGCTTTAAGAAGAGGTACCTTCTTATCCCTGGGTTTAGGGATAGGGTATTCCAGCAGCGCCATGGCATCATCATCTTTGGACCCAGAAAGTAGTTCTTGCATTAGGGTTTAGGATTAGGGAAATTTAGGGTTTAGGCCTGGACTTTCAAAGTGTGGGCGGAGTTGGGTTGACCGTGTACTTGGCTTTCTGTCTGCTTGTGGAAGACGATGGACAAGTTGCATACTAGAATGCGTTACAGTTCCCAAGCATTCGCACTGTCTCTTTAAACCTCCAAACCAATGCCCAGGCTCATCCATTGCAGAACCTTTCGCCACCTGGGGCTTGCAAAGAATACGCTCCCTGACTAACGCTGCCCTCAACCATACGGTTTAGACCAGTGAAGAACTGCACATGATGCCTGCTTACTTCCTACACGTTGACAGTGTTGTGTCCAATTATGAGCTCGGCAGAGGCCGCACCTGACCGTGGCACATCGCGTGCACGAAAGTATACTACTGTCCGAGATGGCATAGCCTTCTTTGCAAGCTGCACAAGACCTCTTGTCATAGCCCGGTGCGCACATTGTGGACAAGTCCGTGGAGTTCCCACCAGGGCATGCCGCAAGGTTCGGGCAGTATATGGTGACGCTGATGTTTCTTCCCTCCACCATATGCCCCGCAGTCATCTTGAACTCTGTGGCGTAGCAGAACTCGTTCTGCGTCGGGCACGGCACGCATTCCCGGCGTTCGCCATCAAAGATCTGAGTGAAGTTATCTTCGCAGACCTTTCAAAATCAGAAACCCACAGCAGCATCGCGCTCAGCGATTGCAAGCAAATCGATGTGCAAACAAGAAGCCGAGCAATTGGTTGAATTTGGCCCGTGGCGGATTCCCGTGCCCGCTGGACAGCCAAGGCTCGTGACGTGATGTTTCCGAGCCACCAGACTGCATGACTTCAGGGTTGTGCAGTTAACGGACTCCTCAGGTCAGCATCTTAGGGGCTGAGTACCGTGGCCCAGAAAACTTTTCCTTCTGGTAGGGATTTATATGTACCTGAAAAGGTTAAAGGTTACCTACCCAGCTTAGCCTAAGGCAGCAAGGAAGACAAAGGCAAGGCTGCTGGTTGCCTTGGTGACCGGTAACTGGGACTCCAGATATTTCTTTTCACATGCAACCACGGAGCTGCATGTATGCTCTGAGCCAGTACGCCCATGGACAATTTCCCACTGACGCTCTGAAAGCGAAGATCGTCGGCAATGACGGCACCTTGAAGCACGCAGAGACTTTACTCTTAACGTGAGCAAGCTGGTCCAAACGCTGCAGCAAACTAGTAAGCATCAGCCCGTAGAGTCCTTGAACAGGAGACCTTGACCCTAACGCTCCAAAGAAAATACGATTTATAGAGTTTAGACCACAAAGAAAGTAATATTTACATACTTACAAAGCCCCAGGGTAGCTCTCATGATCAGGCCCCGGCCAGATGAGATGATGTCGAAGTCCACACTACGAGGCTCCAAGACAATCAAGTTGGAGACGTTCAATGTTTGAGCTGCAGTGTAGATGGAGCCCGCATCGAGCTTCGCGATGCATTGCTTGATATACACGTTTGTCAGGCGTCCTGACAAGTTGCTGCAGGTTCACCAAAAGATTTGGAGATTCTGCGAGCACAGCAGAACAGGCAGTTAATGGAGCTCACTTCAAGATACATCCCGTCGTGGCAGCAAGTGGCATCCGACATGCCAGCTTGAGACTACGAGCTACTCAAAAACTTCAAGGCCGAACTTGTGCACACTCCCCGTGTCCTGAACTTCCAGATCCCAGATAAAGTCCACCCCCTTCGCCCCCAGCAGTGCAGCTGTAGGCACGAATTTGTCCACCATCTTGCCGAACCTCTCCATCGCCACTGCTGATATACAAGCCTCCGCCATTCCCGCCTGCCCGCATAAGGCATATAGCATCATAACAGCAAGCAGGTGAGTTACAAAGCCTGTACCTTGCAGATTCTTCGCGCACCTTGGGGAGAGGCTGCGCAGCTGTCGAACTCGATGCTGCCCTTGGAGCGGATGCTGGGTATCGCCATGCCGCCACCGTGGCCGCCGCGTGCAAAACACTGGCGGAAGGTCACGTTGCCGTTAGCATGCTGTCGGATGCCTCTAGGGTCTTGCTACTGACATTAGTGGAAAAGCCTCGTATACAGCAGGTCTTGAATAAAAGGGCCCGTTTTGCAAGCCGCACCTTTGTTCTTCATAAGAAGGCCACCCCCCGAGCCCAAGGAAGTGCAGGTCGTCACCAACAATGACCCCCTCACGTCCATCTGGCCTTCTTGGATGTAGACGCCACCACCTTCACAGCTTTCGAACACTGCTTGCATGCACTTTGTGAGTCGTGAATCTGTGAAACTACTCATGTCATCATGGGTTTCCGAACCTGTCCCGGTAGCAAAAGCCACTGCCCAGTTTCCTTAAGAGCTTCATCTGAACCCCGAAGCATTGCATCTGTTCGCACGAGCCTCCAGAATCTGAACCAAGCGCATTGCAGCCAGAGAAAGCCGTGACACCGCCCAAGAAGACATTTCTTGACACAACCATTCCTCCCCCAGCATCTGCACTGCAGTTGGCAAATTCCATCTTGCCCGCACTTTGGAGCAGGCTCTGGTATACAGCTAGACCCCCTCCTTGGCCATCAGATGAGTCGCAGTTTTTGACATGGATCTTCGAACTGTTCTGGAAGAAGTTGCCATGCACAACAATGCCTGGCAAACCAAGCTTGCCCGGTATAGGAACCTGCTAGCCTAATTATTAACTTCATGGTGTTTCGCTCCATTTGCTTCAGCCTGCACCATCATCTTTGGCAACGCAATGATCAACGGTCACGGTTGCATCAGCTTGCAAGTAGACGTGGAGGCCTACATCTGCACCCCCTCCCGAACCCTGTGCGTGGCAGCTCTTGAAGAGAACTGAGCCGGAGTGCACGGTTAGGCTACCACTCTCGGTTCGCAAACCACCACCGCTCTTCAGACTTTGGCATTCGGTGAAGTGTGTGGAACCTCCGAGCTGGGAAAAGTTGCTGTGGACATAAAGACCGCCCCCACCAGCACCTGCACAGCACGCATGCCCATGTCAGTGACATGCTTTGAATATTTGGGACGTCCAATTCCACAACAGCATGCAGCCCAAAATCCGTCCTGCATCGCGGTCTTCAAAGGCGACACATCGATGGAACGCGTTAGAGCCGCTGACATCGACCGAACCATTGACACTCATGCAGCCTCCGCGCTGGGCTTTGCAAGATGTCAACCGGGTCGAGCTGCTGGACACCTGGCTGAAGCTGCCAAGGATATGAAGACCGCCTCCATCAAACTTGCTGAGGCAATCTTCCGCAAGCAGGTGCCCGCCCCGCTGCAAGAAACTTTGTTCCACAAAAGCTCCTCCACCTCCGTCCCCGCCTGGAAGGAATGGGTATGTTCCTAAGATGCTGCAAGTACAATGATGATGTCTTCTCTGCTTTTATGGTGTTTTTTTCAGAAGGGTGACTCTTGAAAAAGTTGGCCCAGATATACTTCCAGTCGCCAGCATTCCAAACCATTCCAGAAAATTCAGAAAACTACCGTAAACTTCCGGAAACTTCCCGAAATTTCCCGAAACTCCAGAAACATTCTCAACCTCAGGTACTTATACTTCGGAAGGGGAGGGGAAAAGGCCAAGTCAGCAGCATCAAAGAGACAGGCTTGAAGACATGTTTCATGGCCCAATTTTGTTATGTCGACCTGGTTTGTTATAGACGTAGCTGCCTATTGCAGCTTGATGTCAGCCTTTGAACTGTTCCACCATCTCTTGCTAGAACAGAACTTGAAGATATGATGGCCATAGCCCCATGGAATTTTGTTATGGCGACCTGGCTCCTTAGCTGCTTGTTTCAGCTTGATGACAGCCTTTCAATTGTTCTGCCGCCATCTCTTGCTAGCAGTTTAGCACTCTCAATCCCAGAGTTGCAATGCTAGAAAATTAACCGGGTGAAAAAACGGGCAACATTCCCTCTGCCGGCTTGGCAAAACAAAAGCGGGGGCGAACTACAATCCAGAACGATTTTTGGATGTTATCGAAGAATGCTGTGGAAGTTTTTTGAACTTTTTTAGAAGTTTTTCGATGTTTTGGAAGTTTTTGATTTCTTTCCGGATTTGTATGCTTGGCAAGTTTTACCATGTTGCGGGATTATTTTCCAGGTTTTTTCTGGTTGGGGAGTATTGTTGCCTTGGGATCCCCGTCCTGCGATTTTTTTGCTTGCTACTGGACTAAGGCAATGCTAATGGATGGTTTTGCGGCTACACGAAAAGTTCAAGTAAATTAGATGACCTTCATTGGCAAGTTTGGCAGAAGTGGGACTTAGCCCACGATGGGAAGGCTTCAGCTTGCCAAATGGAGATCAAGAGCAAACTCCTGGGTTCGTTGATGAGCAAGTATTTCGGGAGCCTACCTCCCACTGGAAATGGTTTACTGCGGCCCCAAAATGCGAGAGGAATGGAGAGCGCTGGCTGTCAAAGGGTGGACGCCAGTGCACGCTACTTTTCAAGGGCTGGGGGCATGGAGGTTTGAAAGTTTGTTGGTCAATCTGCAGAAAACATTCCCAAAATTCCAAAAACTCCGAAAACATTCCACAAGCACTGAAGAAGCACCCTTGTGAAGAACCACCATAAGAGTATATAAGATGACGGTTCGTGCCAAACTTATGCGCTTGAGGAGAGAAGCATAGCATGGCAGCTAGCAGCTCGAGGTACCTTGCAAGAGCATTGCGCACTGGGTTGCCACACACACACACACAAACGCACGCACACGCAGGCACGCACGCACACGCACGCACGCACGCACGCACGCAGGCAGTTTGTCAGGATTTTCCCAACAAGAAAATTGTGCGTTCGATTGGACAGTCGTAAAAACGTGCATGGCCAATTCGAAGCCGAGGCTACAAGCCGAGCGTGGGCTTAGTGAGGTTGGGTGGCTCAGCAGTCAGTCGTTATATACTTGTAAATTGGGAAAAGGTTGTTCACGACGGAGAGGAACCCACCCGTCCTCCCCATCCCCCAACAGCCCTGAAATGCTTGGCGGTCCAATATGCTCTCACGTAGTGCCAGAGAGACACACCCCCACCCCCACAGCATCTTATGGATCTACATCTACAAGCAAAACGAGGTTCTCCGCTGTGTGGTGTGCTCACCTGTGAATGCACAGGTTGAACAGGTGTGCACCAGTGCACATGTTCCAAAGTTTCTTCGCGCAAGAACCTATGAGCCTACTTGTAGTGTTCTGTGTTCAAATTCGCTGGGTTTTCCTATCTCTTTTCGCAGCTCATGTCACGTTGCTCTGAATCTAGGCTCCATCGGGATCGTTTGCCCGTACTTCTTGTGCCCAGGTCCACTTACTGATGACTGCTGCTGCTGTTCAGGGTTCAGGGTTTAGGCCTCGACAATTCCAAATGTCAGCTTGCACATACCCAACTTGTAAGTTAGAGCATCACTTTCTACATACTTCCTGTCTATATGTTGTGTGTGGTCTGGCCCTGGGGGAGAACTTTTTTGTTCACTTTGGGCACGTTGCCCAACGATGATTCCGTCCATGCTACCAGTGCATCCACTTTCCAGAGCACCGTTGCCCAACGATGATTCCGTCCATGCTACCAGTGCATCCACTTTCCAGAGCACCATTGCCCATGCTACCAGTGCATCCACTTTCCAGAGCACCATTGCCCAACGATGATTCCGTCCATGCTACCAGTGCATCCACTTTCCAGAGCACCATTGCCCAACGATGATTCCGTCCATGCTACCAGTGCATCCACTTTCCAGAGCATCATTGCCCAACGATGATTGCGTCCATGCTACCAGTGCATCCACTTTCCAGAGCACCATTGCCCAACAATGATTCCGTCCACTACCAGTGCATCCACTTTCCAGAGCACCCTTGCCACCAGTGAACCCACTTTCCAGAGCACCATTGCCGACGATGATTCTGTCCATGCTACCATGGCAGTGCATCCACTTTCCAGAGCACCATTGCCCAACGATGATTCCGTCCCTGCTACCAGTGCATCCACTTTCCAGAGCACCGTTGCCCAACGATGATTCCGTCCATGCTACCAGTGCATCCACTTTCCAGAGCACCATTGCCCAACGATGATTCCGTCCATGCTACCAGTGCATCCACTCTCCAGAGCACCATTGCCCAACGGTGATTCTGTCCATGCTACCAGTGCATCCACTTTCCAGAGCACCGTTGCCCAACAAGGATTCCGTCCATGCTACCAGTGCATCCACTTTCCAGAGCACCATTGCCCAACGATGATTCCGTCCATGCTACCAGTGCATCCACGTTCCAGAGCATCATTGCCCAACGGTGATTCTGTCCATGCTACCAGTGCATCCACTTTCCAGAGCACCATTGCCCAACGATGATTCTGTCCATGCTACCAGTGCATCCACTTTCCAGAGCACCATTGCCCAACGATGATTCCGTCCATGCTACCAGTGCATCCACTTTCCAGAGCATCATTGCCCAACGATGACTCCGTCCATGCTACCAGTGCATCCACTTTCCAGAGCACCATTGCCCAACGATGATTCCGTCCATGCTACCAGTGCATCCACTCTCCAGAGCACCATTGCCCAACGGTGATTCTGTCCATGCTACCAGTGCATCCACTTTCCAGAGCACCACCCAACGATGACTCCGTCCATGCACCATTGCCCAACGGTGATTCTGTCCATGCTACCAGTGCATCCACTTTCCAGAGCACCCTTGCCCAACAAGGATTCCGTCCATGCTACCAGTGCATCCACTTTTCAGAGCACCATTGCCCAACGATGATTCCGTCCATGCCACCAGTGCATCCACTTTCCAGAGCAACGGTGATTCTGTCCATGCTACCTGCAGTGCATCCACTTTCCAGAGCACCCTTGCCCAACAAGGATTCCGTCCATGCTACCAGTGCATCCACGCACCATTGCCCAACGAAGATTCCGTCCATGCCACCAGTGCATCCACTTTCCAGAGCACCATTGCCCAACGGTGATTCTGTCCATGCTACCAGGGCATCCACTTTCCAGAGCACCATTGCCCAACGATGATTCCGTCCATGCCACCAGTGCGTCTACTTTCCAGAGCACCATTGCCCAACGGTGATTCTGTCCATGCTACCAGTGCATCCACTTTCCAGAGCACCCTTGCCCAACAAGGATTCCGTCCATGCTACCAGTGCATCCACTTTCCAGAGCACCATTGCCCAACGATGATTCCGTCCATGCCACCAGCGCATCCACTTTCCAGAGCACCATTGCCCAACGGTGATTCTGTCCATGCTACCAGTGCATCCACTTCCAGAGCACCATTGCCCAACGATGATTCCGTCCATGCTACCAGTGCATCCACTTTCCAGAGCACCATTGCCCAACAGTGATTGCGTCCATGCTACCAGTGCATCCACTTTCCAGAGCACCATTGCCCAACGATGATTCCGTCCATGCCACCAGTGCATCCACTTTCCAGAGCACCTTTGCCCAACGATGATTCCGTCCACGCTACAAGTGCATCCACTTTCCAGAGCACCATTGCCCAACGATGATTCCGTCCATGCTACCAGTGCATCCACTTTCCAGAGCACCATTGCCCAACGATGGTTCCGTCCATGCCACCAGTGCATCCACTTTCCAGAGCACCATTGCCCAACGGTGATTCTGTCCATGCTACCAGTGCATCCACTTTCCAGAGCACCATTGCCCAACGATGGTTCCGTCCATGCTACCAGTGCATCCACTTTCCAGAGCACCATTGCCCAACGGTGATTCTGTCCATGCTACCAGTGCATCCACTTTCCAGAGCACCATTGCCCAACGATGACTCCGTCCATGCCACCAGTGCATCCACTTTCCAGAGCACCATTGCCCAACGGTGATTCTGTCCATGCTACCAGTGCATCCGCTTTTCAGAGCACCTTTGCCCAACGATGATTCCGTCCATGCTACCAGTGCATCCACTTTCCAGAGCACCATTGCCCAACGATGATTCCGTCCATGCCACCAGTGCATCCACTTTCCAGAGCACCTTTGCCCAACGATGGCTCCGTCTATGATACCAGGATTCAGTTCAGCCTAGCAAGTTATACTTGCCGACGGGACTTCTTGCTGCCGGGGTGAGCCGCAAAAGATGCCGCGATGTGTGTGTTTCCTCGAGTTTTTTGCACACTTTCTCAGTGCAAATCCTCTCACTCAACTCTTCACTCAACACGCGAAGCCTAAAAACACAATTCTGGCCGCGCAGAAACATCGAGTTTTTTAGGCTTTTTGACACTAAATAATTCAAGATTTACGGTGCACGCATCCCGATTGCGCACAAGCAGCTCGTGTCGGTAAAACCATGCTTTCGGGCCTTCACCAACAAAACCTGCGGGCAAACGAGCCCGTCGGAGCCTGAATCTAGACTGTGTGGGCTCGCCTGAAGCATCTCATATCGCATGCTTTAAATTTCTACAGATTTCTACAGAGTTCAAGGGCTACAAGCACACGGAACAAGCAACCTCAGCTACACTCCGAGCCTTCTTGCAAAGCATCACACTTCTGGAATCTCATGGCACCATCGCCAACCATCTGCACATCACCGCCCACGAAGAGCCCGCCGCCAACGCCAGAGCTGCAACCATCAAAGCTCAAACTACCAGAAAACTGGTGCAGGTGTCCTTTGAGCACTGCTAAACCACCTCCGTTGCCATCAGCTGAAGCCTTGCAGTTCATGAAGGTCACGTTCGAAGCGCTCTGGATAAAGTTGGCACCACGCTCAAGGGCCATACCTTTCAAAGGTGAGACTTCAAACAAAATACATGCAATGTGCATGCAAGACTTGGTTAACCCTCGCACTGCACCAAGACTTACAGGCCTCCACCTTTGGCCCCACGCCAAGTAGAACTACATTCTTTGAAAGTCATGTTTGTATTGTGTATATGCGCATCGAGGGATACCGCCGCACCACCACCACCGCCGTGCGTTGCGACACACTCCCGGAAAGTCATGGTTCCCGAATCTGCAATGAGTTTGCCACGAACATACAGCCCGCCGCCATTGCCATACGAATTGGACTTGCAGCGAGTAAAACTGAGGAGGCCTCCTGTTTGGAAGAGGTGCTTCTGCACAAATAAGCCACCTCCGCCCAAACCTGCGTTTGTTTTACAAAGGCGTTCATATCTACGTCGCTAGCCGCATGTGCTCAGAAACAATCTTGACTTACACGCACCGCTTTAAACCTGATGTTCAAACTTCTGCATGCATCTTTCGATGTCAATCAAGCAACATGACCCGGCCTGATTGAAAATCATGCGACCCAAAGGCTTTACAAAAATTGAATCTGAGATGGCCGGCCACATGGATGGAATGGCCAATGCTCACGCCACCTCCGCGAGAGGCGGCGCAGGTATTGAACTCGGCAGAGCTGCTCACCGTCTGATAAAAGCTGCCGTTAACGCGCAGGCCTCCGCCACTGGATCTGGTTCTGCAAGCATCAACTCTCAGATCTCCCCCGTGCTGGATGAAGTCTCTCCATACGAACATCCCTCCCCCTTCGCCGGCACCAGCGTGCTGCCTTCGTGCATCACGACCTGCCAACTGTCAACGCGCCCATCTCGCACCCTCTCTAAACGCCCTGGACGTAGCCACCTACTGGAGCTTTTGGTTTGTCAGTGAGACACCTTCCTCTGCACTGGAAGACATGTAAGTGGGCAAGAGTGACAAATAAAGGATTCCATTGCTTAGGGCATTCGAACATGTTTGCACCCAGCCTGAGCGCACACTCGCCTCACATCGACCAAGCCAGATGGCACCATCCAACTGCTCAAAGAAGCCAGCAACATGCACACCACCACCTGCCATGTCAGGATTGGAATTCCCAGCTGCTGTCCATGTCTAACCCTGCGTATAGGTTTGCGCTACAGCAATACAAGCTGTCCGTCTGTCTCTACTGTGATCATGAAGCACGTGTCGGCGTTCCAAAGTATAAGGTTCTTTGGCTTGGGTTATCCAGGGTCCTGCAACGGGGACTGGGGGGTTAGAAAACTAGGGCTGCCTTGTGGGGTGGTGCTTTGTAAGGGAGATTCTACTAGATTCGGGTGTGTATACAAAAAATCGTGATAGCCCAAACTTGCCAAATTCTGCCTTCAACCCTTGCCGGCCTGTACCAACTGCTCTGCACTCGTCGATTCTCAAGGTGGCCTGCACTGACACATTCCTGTGAACCGCTAGACCTCCCCCGCTGGAGCCAGCGCGGCATCCTTCCACAACCAGATTTCCAGCTGCTTGCCTCCAAGGCCGTAGATTACTTGCAGGTACTAACTAGCCCAAGGCGTTTGCAGACTTGAAGCTACCAGGATCCCTAGGTTCCTTTCTAGAGACTTTGCAAACCAAAGTTGCCCCTACTCTTGGACTTGGAGCCCCGCCTTAACGATCCGTTGGCTACGCGTAGGCCACCTCCAGGGCCGCTCGAGGCCCGACAGTCCTTGAACTCGCTCAACCCGCCGTCTTGCTCAAAACTGCCGTTTTGCACGTAAAGTCCTGCAGGGTGACGGCACAGCATGTTGGTTATGTCCGGCTGTTTTACCCAGAATGGTGCCTCCCCCGCCACTCTCGCCATGAGACACGCAGTTCAAGAACTTTGCGGTTCCGTTGATCCGCATGCTATGGACTGCTGCACCACCACCTCCACCAGCAGCTTCGCATTTCACAAAGGTTGTCTCAGCCTGGCGCGACAGCATCAGGGCGCCTTCTGCATGCATTCCGCCCCCATAGCTCGGGTGGCGGAGTCCTGAACACGGGCGGAGGACTTTGAGCGTGGCACTTGAATCTGCGTTGCAATAGCTTTCAAACTTGTGGGAGGATTCAATAGCTGTACATCAGGACTGGAGCATCACACCGTATTTACTGGCATACGTTTACATGTGGCATACATGGGAATGTTTCGCCTGTTCAAGACGAAAACCGTGGATTCCATGTTGGAAAACTGTCCTGGTGCGGCTGCAGCTCTGCATTCTGTGAACATGTTGGTGCCTGCCAAAGTGACGCTGCCGGCAACATTCAGGCCGCCTCCTGACCCCAGAGCGCGGCAGTCTGAGAAATTGGCAGCACCTTTTGCTTGATGAAAGGAACCGTTGACCCAAAGACCACCTCCACTGCGCTCTGCAATACAGCCGTAGAACTCAATGGAGCCACCAAGCTGCGCAAAATCGCCATGCACATGTAAGCCGCCGCCACTGGTATTGCTGGCGCAATCCGTGAAGTTCATTCTGCCCTCCATCAGCGACATGTGATCTGCGATGATTGCCCCACCTGTGCAACAACCGAAGCGGAACCTGAAGCGTGATCATTTATTTGGAAGAACTACCTGCAACATGCTAAGCTGCTAATCACGCCCGAGAACTGGAGTTTCACTGCGAAAGGGTTGAAACGCAGCATGTAGCAACCGGTCGAATGTGCGAGGACGCAGCGCGTCAGCGCATCCGCATTTTCTGCTACTTTGCATTCAAGAAAAGCCTAGTTCTAGCATTGCCCATTGAATTGATGATAGTGCCTCCACCACCCGACGTACATTCATGAAAAGCGAGTTGAGCGTGGCTTGCCACATGGTGAGCTGCGACAGCACCGCCATCCCCAACAGCAGCGCATTGACGGAACTCAGCTTCACCCAAAAAGTCGATGCCACCAGTTGCGTAAATGCAGCCACCGCTCTGGCCTGCAGATTTGTCGAAGGCCACAACACTAACTCAATACAAGGGCGTGCTTTGAGAAGTTTTGCTCCATATCGTCATGTCCCGCCTCGCCAAGATCGAACAGAACCCGAGCCACCATTGCCGGACGAGCATTCTTCGAAGATGCTAGTTCCATTGAAAATGATATCACGCTGCGCGGTTAACGCGCCACCATTGTCAGCTGCCCTGCAAGCTTTGAAGTGAAGCAAGCCCGACTTCAACTGGACCATTCGTCTCGCTACACGCATACATCCTCCATCAGAACCGCTCCAGCAGTCGTGGCAATAGAGCTTGCCCCTCACTTGCCGGAACTCACCATTGACAGCAGCCCCGCCACCTGCTCAAGTCAGCTTCGAACTGCTGTGCTTGTGGATAAACTACGGCGCGTTTCATTCAGACAGGGGAACCCTGCCGTCTGCAGCGCCGCAGTTCCTGGGATGAGTTTGGCCAATGCCAGGTGAATGTACACTTGGCGTTGTCCATCAATTTGTGTCCTGCTTAGCTTGAGGATTTCGTTCGCCCGTGTCCATGCTTACGGTTGGCTGGCCCAATTGAAGCTGACTAGCAGGATATGTAACTTTCCACAATCCATCACCCTGGACTGCCAGTGCCAACTCCATGACGCCATTTGGCTGTGTGCCAGAAACCCCGGTTGTCGCAGACACCGCGCGCGCACGTCGCACACACGACTGGAGGAAGCCACAAGTGGGGCTTGCAAAACAAGACAACAAGCAGGTCTGTCCCAAAACCCCGAACATTGATACATACCCTATTTAACGGGGTATGTCGCGTGTGTGGGCCCCGGCCCTGTTACGAGCAATCAATATTGGCACGCGGCCATTTCTTATTCCAATGCAGCTGATGTCTATAGCCGCATGGCGAAAACCACGGGAGTCCAAGCCAAGACTGAAGCTGCGACATTGTTTGCAGATCTGACCGAGCGTGAGATTAGGTGCTTCTGTTGAAGACACCCGCCCCCCCTGCAATATTGCATAATTAGCTTCCGCCAAGGGCTTCTTCAGATGAGAGGGGCCAAATGTATGGACGTCACCCTCAGGTGATTCTAATCCTGTCCCCACTCTCAATATGGTAAAGCATGACAGAGGGCCCCATTCTAACATGTGGAATTGGCGAGAAAAGTTCAGTGCCATCATGCGAGATTGCCGCGACATGAGCGCGGAACGATGCAACCAGCTGGGGCGAAGCCAATTTTAGGTCTGTTTGGTATTACAGGGCTACAGCTGCACGGGGCCTGGCCTTCGCCAAGTGAACTGCACGACTCAAACGCCACGCTGCCATCAAGTTGATGGAAGCTGCCCCTGGCCCAAACAGCACCACCTCCGACGATTTGCAGCAGCAAGCGAGGGTTTGAGGTTTCTCACGTTTACCCCTGGCACCATGGGTTCTGGCTTACTCCTTTCTAATCGAAGCTGCGAAGCTGCTGTGAGGTACCAATCGTCCTCCTCTCAAACCCAATGGTCCATGTTAGCCGTGTCGCTTGAAACAAGATGCTAAGTGAATACGAACTAATTTGTGGCAAAGTGAGGGAGGGCTTGCAAGGTGGGATGCATGCAGTTTTTGGGCTTTCGGCTACTACTGATTGCTGGTGACCTCTTGTGACATTGAAACCTGGAACCCTGTGGATCCTATAGTAGGCAGTACACGGGCTCAGCTCATGGTTGGCCCAGCCTCGACCGGGTGCTTGGCAGCGATTGAACGTCACCTGCCCAGATGATATCCAAGCTCCCTTGTTGATGAGGAAGGCACCGCCTTCCAAAACGAAGCGCAAACTTCCGTGATATCTTCACTAACCCTGTCTGGCCTTTGTCAGCCTTGCAGCCCTCTGCATGGATTGTTCCGTTCGAATGCAGACTGTAGGTCGCTGTGCCATTCACGGCGAGGCATCCGCCACGCTCGGCGCTGCAATTCTGGCATCTGATGTGGCCATCAGCCTGGAAAAGGTTGCCGTTTTTGATGAAGAGCCCCCCGCCGATTTGTTGCGAACTGGTGGCGAGCAGCCGAATGCTGCCGCCCTCTTGCCAGAGGCTGCCGTTGTGAATGTGCAGCCCTGCGCCACCTGGCAAGTTCATGAAGTTCGGGCTCAAAGTCCGGTGCCTGTCTATAGATAGATGTACTCAGGAGCAAGACCTGCCTCTGAGACTGCTGCTGTGTTCGATCTCAAGAAGACCCGAAATCATGGCAAGGCCCTGCTGGATGTAAAGAGCACCACCATTAGATGTGTTCTCCTGCGAACCGCGGATGAAATGCTCAGGGGGGGGCAAGATCCTAGACATCTAGATACCTCGATCTGGGTCGTGGAGATCTCAAGAATAGGTTCACGCTTCATCAGCGATTACGCCATGTTTGTGGAAGTTTGCATTCGTACGGAGTCTGACTGGGCATCGACGGCTGGATGTCAAAATGTAAAAAAATGTAAAAGCTCAAGAACAGCACAGCTCTTAGAAGATCGCGCTGTGATACCCACGTGTACTCACAGCCCGCACCTTGTTGTGGCAGTTTGCGAAGCTGATGCGAGTACCGCCATGTTCTGATTCTTTGCTGGTGCCAATTCTCACGTCGCCCTGCACCGTCACACAGGCTTCTTCTAAGTCCTTCAAGCCGTAGAAGGAAACGATGCCGGCAAAGAGAACGGTCTCGCCTGCTGTCAGAGTAGTTATTGCAATCACATTCTATTCGCGACCTCCGATAGTGAGGCGGAACAAAGCAATGTTCAAATAGGCCGAATCGATATTTACCTCTTTTGGCAAGAGGCCTCCGTGGAACACGAGCGGAGCTTCTAGAAACACTGTTGCGCCCATTCCTCGAATCACGCACCTCGCAGGAATGCTTGTACGTCTTCGGACGAGGAAGGTCCCGTTTAACTTCAGCTCGCCGCCCTCACAGGTTGTCGGAAATTCGCGTCGAAGGTTCACGCCGTTCACGCCTTCGGCCTCGAGAAGGAAACCTGGCAACCAGTTGGGCTGCGCCACTGATCTGTTGAGGCGAAAAGTTTGCAAAGGAACAGCCTCTAGACCCAAAACTTTTCAGCACCGCCTTGTGGTGTGTGGCAGGCGTTGATGTTCATGAGTCCGCTGAACATGATGTTGCCCAACACCCCCAACACACCTTGCCAAACAAGCTGTTGGTACTTCAACCAAAAAGTTTAAACGGAAAACCATGGCATACCTCACGCAGGACACAGCCGCTAGTACTTTGCCATCTGCTTTGATGCGCTGCAGGGCCTGCGTTACCGTTACAGCGTGCTCTACATACAAGACGTATGACTGGCTCAGGCCTCCTGAGCCGGCTGTGCACGAGCCAACACTCATGTTCGCTGTGTCGTGTTGAATCAGATCACCCCGCACAAAGATCGCACCGCCTGGGCGTTATGCGCGCTGAGGGGTACAAGCTGAAAACGCCAAGGCTGCTCGTCCTGGTATACAACGGACCAGGCCTGCATTTGCGTGGCAGTCCTCGAGCTCCAACTGGCCTGAAGAAATCAGATGTCCATAGAATACATCAACGGCACCTGATGGGCAGCGCTGAGTTCACGTGGTGCAGCAACTGTCAGAGGTCTTATCACTCATACACCTCTCCCGGAAGTCCCGGACCTCCGCGCGTTGCTGCGTTGCATGAATGAAAGCTTATGCTCCCGACCAACTGGCTGAGTGCCGCGATGTACATGGCGCCACCTTAAACACTTTCAGCGAACAAGCGGAGAGAAAACTAGCACACACATTCAACCATGCCAAACAGTCGTGCTCAACTGGTTGCTGAGCCGGTGCCGTGCTCGGCAACACAGTTGTGGAATCTCATCCTGCCCCGTGAAGTTAAGCTGCCCTGGGCATCTATTGCGCCCCCTGGCAAAGGCAGGTCCGAACCGTGTTGGCAGTTCAGCTAGCCGTTCCCAGCACAAGACTCCACTGTTGCCCCGGCGCATTATCTGTGTTGGACGTGAATGCAAACCGGCCTGATCCCTCTGCCACGCAGTTGTGCGCCTCGATGGTGCCGTGCACATCCAACGCCAAGTCCGCTTGCTCAGTTGCGAGGCATCCGCCGTGCTTCGCGGAGCAGTCAACGCAGTGGATGTCTGCAGTAGCATCTTGATTAAAGCCACCCGCTTTGATGAGGAGGCCCCCACCGATGCCTTCCGATTTGCAGCCATCCAGCTTGATGCTGCCAGCAGATTGCCGAAGGCCGCCTTTGCGAATGTAGATTCCCCCACCGCCTGGCATCACAAGACAAAGAACATCCATCTGAAAACCAGGGCCATCAACTATCAAGTTAATCACCCGCCTGCCAGGCTGCTGCTTCCTTTTACCTCCAAAGTGCCGGATCTCATGACAAGGCCCTGCTCGACATACAGCGCGCCCCCGAGTTGTTCAATCTCCTGCAGGCAGTGTTAAAGCATGTTGTCGCTCGAAACTCGAATCACACACCAAAAAGGCCCAAGCAGAAGGCCTTGTTGTGGCAGCCGGTGAACAAGATATAGTCACCATGACCCAAACCAACGGTGAGCCGGCCCTGCACAACCACGCAAGCTTTCTGCAGCACCCCCTTCCCAATGAAGCGTAGAGTACCGGCGAAAGAAGCGTCTTGGTCTCCTGGCAGGAGCGGTCTAAATTCACGCGCACGTCAATCTCAACGTTTAGAAACTAGACCAGCCAAGGGGGCATGACTACTGGACGTATTTGGGTGCTCTATTTAGAAAAGTGCTTGCCGTCCGGCCGTATGCTGTACGGTCACCACTATCTGCAGCACGACTCTCCTTCGAAGACGAGCGGTGCATTCAGGTGAATGTTTGCACCTTTGCCTTTGCCGCGTACTTGGCACCCTCCGGAGATCGCATGCTCTTTGTCAACATTGTACTGGCCTTGTGGATCAGGGCCCGAATTTCTCTCGTTTTATAGTCGGTATAGCGAGCACGGCCTGCAACACCAAATTATGCCCCATGCCGGACCTGCCTTCCAGCATAAGGGTGCCGCCTTCGCAAGTATCTGGAAGCGACCGCGGCTGCAGTTTACCCTTGCCTGCTTTAGGGCTGGGATCCACATCCTTAAATGTCATTCGCAGAGGTGCTTTCAGCTTGGACAACCCTGTGCCGCGCACGACGCGGAAGTTGAAACACAACCAGCAATTGTCTCTTCAATTCTTCTACAAAGCACCATGAGATGCATGCCGGGCTGCCTCCATGTCCTGTTCAGCTCGACGTACACCTTCAATGAAGGCAAGGAGCCCCAGCAGCAGCAAGCCCGGCATGGTCAGCGCCCTTCTCCACATGGCCGCACTGGGTCTGCCTTTGAGCTTCTCACATCTCCTTCCGGAGTCTCACGTAAACACTGGGATCACATCAGACAATCTGCCTCGCACGGTTGGCGAGGGACTAGCTTGGAGCCTGGGAAAGGTCGGCAGATATACCGTGCACCACAGCATCAGGTATCTCCTTATCTAGATGCCCGCACAGGAGAAAATGAGGCAGATTGACCTCTGCATCTGAGAAAGGCCTTGTTAGCTGTTACTAAGCGTTCAGGTATAGCATGAACTCCAGGAACAATCAGCCATGCTTCTGATGCCCGTCGAGTCAGCCACTTGCAGCAACTTCGTACCCATGCAGGACGCTTGACGCTAAGTCTTAACCGAAGCTTACAGCCAGAAGCCTTTCCACCTCAGGCTCCTGAATCTTACAAACTCAAAGCCGAAACCAAAGAGCATACGATATCCAATAGAGCAAGAGTGGAGCACCCCAGTGCTCTTCGTTTGTCAAAATAACCTATCTGTACATTACGATTTGCGTGTTTCGCGAGGTTTGGCTTCAAAAGCCCTATGGCCCGACAGTATCAGCTCAGTTTGGACTGACGACTCCTAAGCTCACGCGGTTGGGGAAAATGGGCCTTGGGACACCATTTGTCACAATGGTCTTGTTAGCAACACAAAGGTCAACAAAGAAGCAAACACCGATGCTTCACATGGCAGAAGTCTCCTTTCAGCTGGCCATTGTACGGGAGCAAGGGGGGTGGTTTGCCGGCCAAGCGCGCGCTTTGGAAGTATTTGGTCAAGGTCCGGAACCCGCCCCTAACCAGCCCAGGCGTGGCCCCACAGCCCGCCTTACTTGAACCTTCCCTGGGACCTGCCCCGGAACTAACCGGAACTAGCTGAGTATTTGGCCAAGGTCCGGAAGCGGCCCAAGAACTTATTCAAATGGACAAATCGCGGCATCTCAAGTTGGCTTCGGTTTCCAGGTTCAACGGCGCGTAACAGCCAGAAACTTGATACAAGGCAATTATCCTTTTCATTCCTTGGGGGGACCCGCTGTCAGTGACAGCCCACTTTGAGGATGGAAAGCAATGACATCTTCCAGTTGGAGTTTCTGCTCCTTTGAATGTAGTAGTGGAAACACAGGGACATGCAACCCACTAATTATACGAAATGGGAACTGCAATATAGCATAGGAGCGGAAGCAGACCTGAATCTAGATTCCAGCAGCTTCCATTCTGAGCCTTTCCTTCAATCCACCTCCTCTGCCAAAGGCGGCGAAGTGTGCGGCTATCTTTCCGGTGAGTTCGTCTCATGCGTCTGTGAAGCTAGGAATCCAGGCTATCACCAGGTAATATCCTGAGGGGGAGCCCTGATTGTGACAGTGCCGCAAACGGATGAGTTTTGCTTAGGTCTTGGCCCTGGCAAAAAGTCACGAGCTCCAAACAAGCTGGTACAAGCCTGAGCGTGCGCAAAGCTGCTGCGCAACCAAGTTAAATGTTCCAGACATCCTTTCTGTGGATGTGCTGGCAGAGTTGGACATTCAATGCAGGGAATGGGGTAGATTAGTGCCGGCCCTCAGGCAGGCTCCGGAGAAGGTTTGGGTGGCTGTGGCGGGGCCATCCGAACTGCTGCCGCTCGGGCAGGCTGACGCAGAAGCTACGAAACTTCCGGAGGTCCAGAAGAAGAAGGAAGAAGACGAGCGCATGGCTGAGGAAGCTGCGACACTTCTGGAGGCGTGGCTGAGGAAGCTGCAAAGCAGACAACTGCTGACAAGGTGGCCAAAGACAAGGTCAAGGCCAAACAGCCCGCAGCGGTTGCGGAAGTCGTGCCTGGATCCCCAACGAAGCTGGACCCGGGCTTCTAAAACCAACCCACCTAGGGTTTGGGGTTTCGGGTTCTAGGGTTTAGGGTTGTAGGGTTTAGGGTTTAAGTTTAGGGTATCCATGTAAGACCAAGCTGACCTGCGCAGGACGCCGACGTGAAGGCGAGCATGGTGATGAAGCGTGAGGCTGCCCTGGCCAAGCAGAAGATGAAAACTGACACATCATCGAACTGCTCTACTACCGTCTCACCTTTAGGATTGGTACTAAAACTACTGTCTGATTATCCGGAGTGAATGACAGGCAAGGAACGTACTGCATTAGTATTCTATTCACCGTTATAATATTATATTCTACTCCAAATACTAATAATTATTCGTGCGTGTACTTTATTCATTTCGTTTACACACGCACGTTTCGTTCATTGGTTTCGTTCACGCGTTCGTGCATTTAATTAATAAAATTCGTGCGTTCCTTACAATTTTATTATTAAAATGTACTCTCTTGTTCTCTACACTGTATTTTTATTCTACTATTAATACTGTTGTAGCTGGCCACATAAGATATTCATGAAGCCCGCATGAAAAGGCTTATAATATTATAACTATTGCTCTTACTAATTTATATAGAGAATTGACAATTTAATAATGTAACTACAAATGCGGCCAAATTTTAATATCTTTTTCTAGGCCGCGTGTCAAGCTTCTGTAGCTACTTTCAAGACAGGTTCAGGTTGGGGTTCAAGGCAGAGCGCCCGTGCCATCCACCCCCGGCGAGTTGTTTTAGCGTGCTTTGGGCTAGACAACTGAATTTTCCCCAACTCCTCGTGCCCACAAGTTTCCGAGGGCGCGGCTTGGTAGGACACCGCCAGCACCCGCACCTGTTAATCCAACCCTTAATCCTAAACTGATATATTCTGTGCGCAAGGACTTGTGTCATAAGGTGCCTCAGTGCCAGAGTAAATGGCCCTCACTGAACACCCATTTCAGAAAATCTCAACATAACCCTCAACCCTAGAAACCCCAATCATCTGTGCCAAGGCACTCCGAGCCTCCGTCGGAAGTGGGGGAGACTCAAGAAGACCAGGGGAGACCTCCGAAAGCCAAGGTACTTGTAACCCAATGAGAAGTGTAGTTACTAGCCGACGTTATAAGGACCTTAAGTCTTAATAAGTACCCCAACTGGGTTATGACTGGATTAGAAGTACAGTTGTAATTCGGTTACGAAGTGCCATGAACCTCCAAGTAGCCTAGGCTCGGCTCGGTGGACGCTGCGCAGGCCCCTTCTGTTTCCGCCCTGGGGCTCTTCAACCCATTACGGCGACTGTCCACCAAGGACCCTTCTGACCCAGGAATGGTTTCCCCCCTAAATTCAGCCCTGTACATCACGCTTTCTCACACTCACACGGGAGTTCCTACATGGGCTATTAAACCCCATAACCCTTTGAAAAGGCCCTTAGAAGGGTGGCCTCATAGCCCATGCTGGTTCAGAAAGGCACTAGAGCGCTGCAGCCCGTACATCAGTGAGCTCGTCGGAAGCGTAGCCGTTGGACATCATCTTCTCGCATGCGTCGAAGAACTCCGCCAGCCAGGAAGGCTTGTTAGGGTTTAGGGTTTAGGGGTTTAGGGGTTAGGGTGCCTGCCAACTCTTCGACAGCCTCGCCCACGGTGAAGTACCTGTCGCCGCAGTTCAGGGGGCCCTTCCAATTCCCGCCCCACCTTCCGCAGCCTTGCGGCACCCCATCGCCGAGTTTGCACAAGTGCAAACTACAACGCTGTGTCTCAACCGACTAGCACGTCCATGTAGCTTGGTTTGGCACCACTGAGGTATGGTCTGTAAGTCCCCGGCCCATTGAAGCGTAACTTTCATGGATTCCTGAGGTGCGGGCTGTTGGTTTAGGGTTTAAGGTCCCAAGGTATGGGTCGCAATGTTTGCGACTGTTACAGTTTTGCCATCTGTGTGCAGCTAAGGCTTATCAAGTGCGTTGGCCCCAGCCCAAGTACACAAGTTGTCCACCTCCATGCTAGCCGGCCATGCGTACCTCCCTTGCTTCTAACTCAAGGTGCCCATCTTGCTATTTTGCCTCTTGTCTCGGCTCTGTGCGCTTCGGTAGAGCACCGGGCTCACATGGCAAGGTGATGGATGGCCTTCCAGTTGGGCAGTGGCTTGTGGAAGTCGTGCTTTTGGATCTCGAGCAATGAGGGAAAGTGGTAGATGCCGTAGAGGACTGCAATCACAAGAACCGTGATTCCCACAGGTAGAGCCAAGGCAAAGCCGCCCCAAACGCAGAGGCCGCCCACGACCATGCCAAACAAGAAGCCAAAGCAGCTTAACATATTGTAAGAAGGATTCTCTTTGCAAGACTTCAAGCCATAAAAGCCCAGCCTTGTGGCGATTAACGTAACGACCAAGAGAATGATGCCAATGATGATGCAGAAGATGATGAAGCCAAAGTCCCCCACTCTCTCAGACTCATCTAAGTCTGAAGCTCCACTCTCCAAGAGGCTACTGTCCTCCGAGCCAAGGGCACGAGCCAAACGGCCCGACTTCACCTAAGGGTTTCCGAAAATGGGGGGTACCCTTTTTGGGAGTCTAGGAGTATAGTCTCATGGGGTATATTCGGGGGGGGTACCCTTATTGTGGGAAACCCCCACCTGCAACAAGCCACCAGCAGTGCCTGCATTCGTCGAGTTGGACAAGATCTGCTCCCCTTCCTGCGGGGGATTTGGGGGCCCTATAAACATTCATTTAAGTTTCTATGGGCCATGAAGGGTATATAGGGAGGAAAAAATTTGAAACTTCTTCTTAATCCACCATAGCTTCCTCGGCAGTTTGCACCAGGCCAAGGACATCGTCTGCGTCGATGAGAAAGTCTCGGCAGGGCGTAGGGAGGCCCAAAGTCATGCCTTTCAAGTCGTTGATGTCGTGGCCAGGGACGCTCATGAAGTAGTCCACGAAGGTCCCCAACTGATCCTGTTGCTCCTTTGTCTCGTCGCTGAGGCTACACTTGCCATCGGTCTCTTGCTTGAGGAACTGGATGAGCATATTGGGGCGCTTCTTGACATAGTCCACCAAGGTGTTGTGCAGCTTCGCGGGCACCGAGAAGTCCTGGGAGTTGCGCACGGCTGAGATACTGGCCCTGCCTGCCTGCTTGTACTGTGGAATCGTCAACATGTCAGGGCGGCCGCGCCAATGCTTCATGTCCGTGTACGCCGCGCGTGCCGCAGCTCTGGAGAAGTCGCCGTTTTCGGGGGAGAGGCGTATCGGGAAGGCCTCCATCACACTGAGCATCTGGGTGGCTTCCTGCCACATGGCCACAGAGGCCTTCAATGAAGACCGGCTTGAACCCCTCTCGGAGATCGCTGGGCTCTGCTCCATCTCTTCGGCAAGGTCCAACACCTTGCTGTTGGTTCGTAGGGAATGAGGGAATGAGGGAATGAGGTAGCCTATGTCCCCCTATATATACCCTTTAAGGGCTTCTAGAGGGTACCTCATTCCCCATTAAGGGATTCTAGAGGGTACCTCACTCCCCCATTCCCTACTAACCAACAGTGAGACACTTCTCTTTTCATGTCCTCCAGCTTCTGGGCGATCACAAGATCCGCAGCCTCGTGATCTGATGCACCCAGGGCCTTGCACTTCTGCTGGTCCCCAAAGGGTGCCAGGTTGTCCGCAGGGCTGGAGCCCACCTTCTCACAGAAGTGTGAGGGGCCACAGACATCCTTCTCCGAGTCGTAGAAGCAGCGGAAAGCACAGGTACTCGGCTTGCCCATACCTCTAGAAGGGAGATCGCTCGTTCCCCACCATTCTCGTTGACATTCTTGCTATTGTGCTGTTATTACTTGTCTGCTGAGTATTTGTAAGTCATTGCCGTGACACCTGCTGTGTGCAAGACCACATGTCATATGCCTAATATTTGGTGCGTGTGTTCAACATTGACTATGACTATGTCTTACATGTGTACACAATTGCATTTACTAGTATTTTATTTAAGATTATTCCAACATCTCAGTGTAGCATCTTTAATCGTACAAGGGTGCAATCGTATAAAAGAAAAATGTACCGTATACTGTTGTACCATGTTATGAGCACATCATTATGATTTTGTGTATTCATCTTCTGAATTTTTGCTTGATTCGCACATCTTTGCATTCTGATATTGCTTCTTGGATTTATCTTCTTGCAACAGTATACGACTAGTACTGTTATATGACTATATATATATATATGGTCACCCCCCCCCCCTCGACAGACCCGGAAGTATTTTTCCGGTCTGTTCAGGAAGGGGGGGGGGAAGCACCACTCCAAAATTCCTCGAGTTTCCAAAAATCCAAAAAATCCAACCCAGGGTTCCGCTTGTTGGAAACTCGAGCGGGAGCCTCAAATTCCTAAAACCGAGCAAATTCCTCGAGTTTCCAAAATTCCAAAAAAACCCACCCCAAGGTTTGGATTTTTGGAACTCGAGCGGGAGCCTAAAAATCCAAAAATCGAGCAAATTCCTCGAGTTTCCGAAATTCCAAAAATCCAAAAAAACCCACCCCAAGGTTTGGAATTTTGGAAACTCGAGGAATTTGCTCGGATTTTTGATTTTGAGGCTCCCGCTCGAGTTTCCAAAAATCCGAAACTTGGGTTGGAGTTTTTGGAATTTTGGAATTTTGGAAACTCGAGGAATTTGCTCGATGTTTGGATTTTGAGGAAATTCCTCGAGTTTCCAAAATTCCAAAATTCCAAAAACTCCAACCCAAGTTTCGGATTCTTGGAAACTCGAGCGGGAGCTTCAAAATCAAAAAACCGAGCAAATTCCTCGAGTTTCCAAAATCCCAAACCTTGGGGTGGGTTTTTTTGGGTTTTTGGAATTTTGGAAACTCGAGGAATTTGCTCGATTTTTGGATTTTGAAGAAAAATTTCTCGAGTTTCCAAAATTCCAACCAAGTTTCGGATTTTTGGAAACTCGAGCGTGAGCTTCAAAATCAAAAAACCGAGCAAATTCCTCGAGTTTCCAAAATTCCAAACCTTGGGGTGGGTTTTTTTGATTTTTGGAATTTTGGAAACTCGAGGAATTTGCTCGATTTTTGGATTTTGAGGAAATTCCTCGAGTTTCCAAAATTCCAAAATTCCAAAAACTCCAACCCAAGTTTCGGATTTTCGGAAACTCGAGCGGGAGCCTCAAAATCAAAAAACCGAGCAAATTCCTCGAGTTTCCAAAACTCCAAACCTTGGGGTGGGTTTTTTTGGATTTTTGGAATTTTGGAAACTCGAGGAATTTGCGAGATTTCTGGATTCTGAGGCTCCCGCTCGAGTTTCCAAAAATCCAAACCTTTGGGGTGGATGTTTGGATGTTTGGATTTTTGGATTTTTAGAAACTGGATTTTTGATAAGAGTTTTTCAGGGGTTCTTATATGATTCCTTATTATGTTTTAGGCTGCCTATTAAATTTAATAATACTCCTGTTCACTTTAATGGGAGCCCTTATTTAATCAATAAGACTCCTAATCATTTTACTAGCATTCTAAGTGATCTTCAATGGGATCCCTGTATTTGTTTAATGGGTTTCGTGTTAGATTTAAAGGATGCCTATTAAAGGACTTTATTGGGTTTAATATTGATTCCTATTCATTTTAATCGAATGCAAAATAATTGGAATACGATTCTGAGTAATTGTAATAGCATTCTTCTTCCTAGTTAGTTTTAATAAAAGTCTTAAAATTTTAATAAGCTTCATAACAAATTTTATACATATTCCTATTAATTTCAATAGGCTTCTTATTCATTTTCATAAGATGTCTTACAATTTCTAATTGGGTTCCTTTTGCTTTGACAAGCTTCCTATTCATTTAAAAAGGCTTCTGATTAATTGGAATAGGCTTCGTATTCATTTTAACAGGGTTTCTCATTCATGTTGACAGGATTCCTAATAATGTTCATAGGATTCCTACTAGATTCCACAGTGCTCCGATTATGTTTTTAAATCCTGTTCCCTATTCATTTCAATTGGACTCGAAGTCATGTTATTGTAACTCTTATTTGTTTTATTCGCAATCCTATTAATTATTTTTTAATTGGGTTCATTATAATTCTAACAGTACGACTCTTATTGTTTTAAGTTTTGAAGGGTCCACATTACTTTTTGTTATAGAATTTTATTGGCCCCTCTTAATCCTTTAATAGGATTCATCTTCATGTTAAACGGATTCCTGTTACTCTTAACAAGAATTCATAGATCCTTTTGTAGGGTTCCTATCAATTTTAATAGCATTCCTATGAATTCAAAAGGGTTCCTATTCATTTGAATGGCCTTCCTATGGTTCCTCTGAATTTAGGACGCCAAGAAATTTTAATAGGAGCTTCTACGTATTTCAACCAGGTTCTTATTAACTGTACTAGGATTCTTACTAAGTTTTCAAAAAAGACTCGTCTTAATTTCAATAGGGTTCTCATTCATTTTAATGGGGTTCCTATTGGTTTAAATAGGATTCCTATTGAACTCATACGAAGCCTATGAATCCTAATAAACTTAATAGGAACCCAAGTAAAACTAAGAGCAATCTTATTAAAATTAATAGCAATCCACGATGTCGAGCAAATTGATCAGGTCCTTACAGCATGCGTCCTTCTCACATCTGTCTGCATCTTTCATTGCGAACACAAAACCGTACTAATCGAAAAAAAACTTACTCTATTGTGTGTTAACGTGTCTGGCTACTGTGTGCAGCTATGCTGTCCGTCGCGCCCTCAGCCCTTTTTTTGCTTCCGGGGTCTGTCGAGGGGGGGGGGGTGAGCATATATATATATATATATCCCTAAACCCCTAAACCCTAATTTATTACAGTGTTAGACAGAAAAGGGCTCCCGAGCTTGGCAGGGATACAGGAAACCTGGCCGAGCATGCCATCCACCAAGGCCATGAGCTCGTGATCAGGCTCCTGTTTGCTTTGGTCTAGGGTTTAGGGTTTAGGGTTTAGGGTTTAGGGTTTAGGGTTTAGGGTTTAGGGTTTAGGGTTTAGGGTTTAGGGTTTAGGGTTTAGGGTTTAGGGTTTAGGGTTTAGGGTTTAGGGTTTAGGGTTTAGGGTTTAGGGTTTAGGGTTTAGGGTTTAGGGTTTAGGGTTTAGGGTTTAGGGTTTAGGGTTTAGGGTTTAGGGTTTAGGGTTTAGGGTTTAGGGTTTTTTTGCCACCGGGTTTAGGGTTTAGGGTTTAGGGTTTAGGGTTTAGGGTTTAGGGTTTAGGGTTTAGGGTTTAGGGTTTTTTTGCCACCGGGTTTAGGGTTTAGGGTTTAGGGTTTAGGGTTTAGGGGTTAGGGGTTAGGGGTTAGGGGTTAGGGTTTAGGGCTTAGGGGGTTTGGGGTTTAGCGTTGCAGTGTCGACACTACTGTAAATAGGCTATGGTAGGTTGATGTTGGGCGCCTGCAGCGTCTTGGGATCTCCGCCAGGCACATGCAACTCCATCCCCGGGTCATGGGACCTTGTGGAATGAAACTCCACCTCATCCTCGGTGGATAGGAGGCAAGAAAAGAGAGTTTGGGCACTTCTTTGTTGCAATCCCGAAGCCCCAACAGATCTAAGACATGTCCTGAGACAAGCCAGGCGTCTTCGTCCACGGTCTTCTGTCTGCCCTTGCTGTTGAGGAAGTAACCTTACTTCTCCAAGAACCAAGGGGGAAAAAAAATGATAAACATCAGTATTCCTACTAAATAAGGAAACCGAAAAATTTCAAAGTTCAACTAAAGGCGAAGGAAGCAACGGACGATCTTGCTGCCCTCCTTGTGCTCATAGATCTTGTGCCCCGCAGAGCGAAGCAAGCCCGCCTTGGTCTCCCCCACCACCGGATTCATCTCCGTGCGCAGGTAGAGCGCCTCGTCCTTGGAGTAGTGGCTCGATCCGAAGTCGCCCTTGTTGGCACGATAGGCCTGCCACCCCATGATCCAGATGGTGGGCATGCCATCGATCCTCTCAGTCGCCACCACGGCATCCGGCAAGATGCGGTACCTATACTGAACCTGGAACCCTAACAAAATACATTATAATTATAGCTGTTTCTTAGGAATTAATGTATCCCAAGTTTATTTAAAAATATATTTACAAACGCTCTCAGGAATCAAAGTACCCCAAATTGAAAAAAAAAACTATTTCCAAAATATCCCGAAGGTACCTCGTGTCCAGGCCATCGATCTCGATGTATGGAGGCGACTCATGCTCCTTGAATCGGAAGGTGACATTGGCGGTTTGCCATGTCAAGGAGCCTTACTTCTCCAAGAACCAAGTTAGGGTTTAGGGTTTAGGGTTTAGGGTTTAGGGTTTAGGGTTTAGGGTTTAGTTTAAACTTCAACTATTGGCGAAGTAAGGAGCTCTGCTTCCCGGAGGCCCACATGGTCGAGAGGGAGAAGCCGCCGGCGTCCGTCACCATTTCTTGCCGCTGATGCCGAGCCTTACTTCTCCAACAACCAAGGGGAAAATCACGCAAAGGGTTTAGGGTTTAGGGTTTAGGGTTTAGGTTCCTACTAAATAAGGGAAGCCCATAAGAAGCTTACACTTCAACTCTTGTAACTAAGGAAGGGAGCAGAGGACTTCGCCATGCTGTTGCCGACAATCTTGGCGGCCTCGCCTGCGTGAAAGATCTCTCGGGCGGCGGAGACATCCCTCATCGCCTTAGGGGACGAAATGAACCCTAAATGAACCCTGAAAGGGCCTATGGATCATATACCTTAAAAGGAATTATAGTAAATGAACCCTAAATGAACCCTAAATGAACCCTAAATGAACCCTAAATGAACCCTAAAGGAACCCTAAATGAACCTTAAATGAACCCTAAATGAACCCTAAATGAACCCTAAATGAACCCTATGGATCATATACTTTAATAAAAGGAATTATAGTAGTATAGGGTCTCTGACCCCAATTCTAGGGGTCATTTGGTCCCCAAGGCGCCAACAAGAAGATGAGTGCGCAAGCCAGGCGCTGGCGCGTCACGTGACGTCCGGCCATGAGGACTTGACAGCCACACACAAATCAGCAAACAACTTGAGATTGTAGTGAGAACGCTTGAGCCGTTGCCAGCCGGACAGGAGCACGCAGGAAACAAGGAGCTGTGCAAAAGCTACAGCACGAGCTGGCCAGCTCGAGAATTACGTTGGAGCTTCTAGCCACAGAATCCACCGAAAGGTCATTCGAGAGTCCACAACCTATTCTACTTTGCTTAAGAGCGCCACTCCCCAAAAAGAAGGAGCCACCCCCTATATTGCCCTTATAAGGTCTGGGAGCCTGAAGAACTTAGCCGCTGGCATTCGTGAAGGAGCGGATTATCGCGACCGCCAGAGCCTGCAGGGGGTTTAGGGTTTAGGGTTTAGGGTTTAGGGTTTAGGGTTACCAGCATCTACAACCCAAGGCTGAGGCTCCACGAGTCGAGAGACACACGGCTGTGGACTGGATTAGGGTTTGGGGGTTTAGAGTTTAGGGTTTTAGGGTTTAGGGTTTTAGGGTTTAGGGTTTAGGGTTTAGGGTTTAGGGCTACTAGTCGTTTGAGTTTGCCATGTGATCCGGGGCCTAAGCCCGTTGTTTGCATCCAGTCCTCCGGGGCAGCCTTGCCTCTAGGCCCTGAAAAGACCTTAAACCCTGAGCGGGCTTCCGTTTCCGCGCAATCCTTGCTGTCAGAGCTGCATGTTCTGCAAGGTCGGATGGAGGAGGGTTTAGGGTTTAGGGTTCAGGGCTTAGGGCTTAGGGCTTAGGGTAACACATGTTTCTTGGAGTCTTGCACTCCCCTACATTGCTTCTGGCAGTTCTGGGTGCACTCTTCTCCTCGATATTTGCCCCAAGGGTCGAAGGTGGCTGCTAAGGCTGGTTTCCAGAGCCCTAAACCCTCAACCCTCAACCCTCAACCCTAAACTCTAGGTAGTCTGGGACGCATGTCAAATACTACTGGAAGGCATGTCAAGACATGTGAAAAAGCCTGAGAAAAAGAGACCGTACTGCGGACTTCTGTCATTGCAAGACGTGGGGCAACACGAGCCGGAGTACCAAAGCCTTCTGACTTCTGAGCTTCTACGAGCGCATCCTGTTTGCATCGCTACAATCATGACTGTGAGGAAAACCCTCAACCCTAAACCCTAAACCCGAAACCCTAAACCCTAAACCCTAAACCCTAAACCCTGAACCCTGAACCCTGAACCCCAATACGTCAAAAGGGGAATGTGTAACCAGACCCCAAAGTTGCCCAGCTGCAATAACCCCAACCAGTTTCCCTGTCAGCATACTTGCGACCACTACTTGGAGGTTCATGGTACTTCTTAACCAAGTATAACTGTACTTATAACTAACCACCTTAGGGCACTTAAGGGGCTTACAAGTGGGTTCTAAGTACACATAGAAGTGGTTGGGTAATAAGTACCATGAACCTCCAAGTACCTACTCATTAAATCTCATTAAGACGTTGCGCCTTCCTTGTGCCTCCGCTGTGGCTCGACCCAGGCAGCGTTCGCCCACGCCCCTCGGCTGATCCGAACACTACTCAAACCTCTTGGCCATGCTTCCCGCTTATACTAAGAGTCCTGGGAACGATAATCCCCTTTAAGGACTGTAGCTGTTTAGTATAAGGGGGAACGATAATCCCCTTTAAGGACTGTTAGTAGCTGCTGAGTATAAGGGGGGACTTCCCAACCTTGGAACATTCAGGAGCGCATAGCTTGTGAACGGGAATCAGCCAAAGCCCCAGCACTACGGCACCGGTACTGGCCTCGGGCCCCAGGGTCCAGATTCGATAACTTAGGGGTACCTTATTGGGGTCTTTTTTTTGGGAATCCTGCGATTTGGGGGACTATTTTCGGACGCAGCATAGGGGAAGTGAGGGTTAGGGTTCAGTCGTTTGGGAAGTTTGGGTTCTTTCGATGGGGGCTTGGAGGGCCAGTTTGAGGGAGTTCAGGGCTCTTTGAGGGACGCTAGAAACGAGGGTAGAGGCTTGAGGGAAGGGAGGGCTTCGAGATGAGAGACTGATCCTAAACCCTAAACCCTAAACCCTAAACCCTAAACCCTAAACCTAAATCCTAAACCCTAAGCCCTAAGCCCTATTGCATGTTCCGGAGGGCTTGAGAAGGACGGTCCTGGATGTTAAGCGTTCGAAAGAACTTCGGTGGATCATGGAGTCTTGAGGTTTAGGGTTTAGGGTTTAGGGTTCAGGGTTTAGGGTGGCTTCTGGGGCTTAGTCGTGGTAGGAAAGGCAGTGCTCCCATCGACGCAAACTTTTGCTCATACAGGGATCCCTTCAGACTTCGGCAGAAGGAGAAAGGCTCCAAATGCTCCCTCAAAGGGATCCTGGTGCAGAACAAAGGGATCCTGATGTAGAACAGGGAGAAGCAGCGTGCGAGACCGGCTAGCAGTCCTCACGCTCGCAAGCATTTCACGCAGCAGGCGCCGAATATGAGGCCAACGAGGAAGGTAAGTTCATGTGTCCTCCACTCATGCGGAAAAGGCACGATACCTGCCGACACCCTGACATTCCCATGGCTGTCGCTGTCTACCACACCCACCACCTCAGTCCCTGCGAAGCTACCAAACGGGCTCACTGTGGGGGGCTCAATCTGAAAGCTTGAGACATCCCGGAAGGGCCAGTAGCAGAAGATGTCCACCCAGGGGCCGTAGGGGTCGTTGGGTGGGACATTGTGTTTAATGCCCGGGCCTGTGGACTTTCCCTCGTCCAGGTGCTTGTACCACGTCTCGATGGGCCAAGGGATGCCTGCTCTGAGGTACTCAAATGGTGGACTTGCAGTGTAACACAGTGAACCCATGGTCGGCAGCAACTGCAAGAGCTCCATCGGATTTCCCGAGTGGGCGCGCTTCATGAGCCAGGGGCTAAACTCGTAAGCTATGTAGCGTGTACGCTGCAACATGTCCAAGCAACCGTTCAGAACCTTCAGCTCGTAGCCCTGTGTGTCAACCTTCAGGTAGTCGATGTGGCCGAGCCATTTCGGGAGGAACTTGCGCAAGGGCAACACTGGCACTTCGATGCCAGCACCATTTCTTTTGCCATCGAGGATCGACTGAGTGTAGGATCTGGCTGCATTTTCTGGGAATCTGATCGTCGTCTCCTCGTCTGCAATGGCAGCATTGAAGACGTACGCAAAACCACTACCGGCTGGTGGCTGCTGGAGCTCAGGCAATACCCACTGCTCCCCTTGCTTCTGGAGCTCCACGAAGACATAGCGGGAATCGTCTTTCACTGCCTGTTGAAAGAGCCGAATGTTTGTAGGCAACAGGTCAAAGGATAACACGACAAAGCCGTTCTTGACAGCTAATCTGGTCTCTTTTGCATCGTAACCTAAGCCAATGTCGACCACAAACTGCCCTGCCCCGTCCCTCTCCAGGAATCCCGGCATCAAGGTGTTGCCTTTGAAGCACGCTTGCATCTCGCCAAAGATTCCCAACTCGCCCCGCGTGGCATTGCGCAGCCTCTCCCTTTCTAGAACTTCACGATCGGCTTCGCTCATGTTCTTCGTCACCTGCTCCGGACATAGCTGGTCCAGCATGACATCCTGAATGGTCCTGTTGATGACCCATGTCGTGTCACCTGCTTGTGGGAGCTGGGGCGGGCTCTGGGGCTGCTGGCTCTGTGAGCTGGCGAGAGGGTACGCCTTCGGCGCTGCTTGAGTCATCGGAGTGGGAAGGCTGGTTGGAGGAGGCGCGGCCGCCGTCTGCGAGTTTGGGGCGTCCCGGAAGGGCCAGTAGCAGAAGATGTCCACCCAGGGGCCGTAGGGGTCGTTGGGTGGGACATTGTGTTTAATGCCCGGGCCTGTGGACTTTCCCTCGTCCAAGTGTTTGTACCACGTCTCTATGGGCCAAGGGATACCTGCTCTGAGGTGCTCGTGTGGTGGACTTGCCGTGTAACACAGGGAACCCATGGTCGGCAGCAACTGCAAGAGCTCCATCGGACTTCCCGAGTGGGCGCGCTTCATGAGCCAGGGGCTAAACTCGTAAGCTATGTAGCGTGTATGCTGCAACATGTCAAAGCAACCGTTCAGAACCTTCAGCTCGTAGCCCTGTGTGTCAACCTTCAGGTAGTCGATGTGGCCGAGCCATTTCGGGAGGAACTTGCGCAAGGGCAACACTGGCACTTCGATGCCAGCACCATTTCTTTTGCCATCGAGGATCGACTGAGTGTAGGATCTGGCTGCATTTTCTGGGAATCTGATCGTCGTCTCCTCGTCTGCAATGGCAGCATTGAAGACGTACGCAAAACCACTACCGGCTGGTGGCTGCTGGAGCTCAGGCAATACCCACTGCTCCCCTTGCTTCTGGAGCTCCACGAAGACATAGCGGGAATCGTCTTTCACTGCCTGTTGAAAGAGCCGAATGTTTGTAGGCAACAGGTCAAAGGATAACACGACAAAGCCGTTCTTGACAGCTAATCTGGTCTCTTTTGCATCGTAACCTAAGCCAATGTCGACCACAAACTGCCCTGCCCCGTCCCTCTCCAGGAATCCCGGCATCAAGGTGTTGCCTTTGAAGCACGCTTGCATCTCGCCAAAGATTCCCAACTCGCCCCGCGTGGCATTGCGCAGCCTCTCCCTTTCTAGAACTTCACGATCGGCTTCGCTCATGTTCTTCGTCACCTGCTCCGGACATAGCTGGTCCAGCATGACATCCTGAATGGTCCTGTTGATGACCCATGTCGTGTCACCTGCTTGTGGGAGCTGGGGCGGGCTCTGGGGCTGCTGGCTCTGTGAGCTGGCGAGAGGGTACGCCTTCGGCGCTGCTTGAGTCATCGGAGTGGGAAGGCTGGTTGGAGGAGGCGCGGCCGCCGTCTGCGAGTTTGGGGCGTCCCGGAAGGGCCAGTAGCAGAAGATGTCCACCCAGGGGCCGTAGGGGTCGTTGGGTGGGACATTGTGTTTAATGCCCGGGCCTGTGGACTTTCCCTCGTCCAGGTGTTTGTACCACGTCTCTATGGGCCAAGGGATACCTGCTCTGAGGTGCTCGTGTGGTGGACTTGCCGTGTAACACAGGGAACCCATGGTCGGCAGCAACTGCAAGAGCTCCATCGGACTTCCCGAGTGGGCGCGCTTCATGAGCCAGGGGCTAAACTCGTAAGCTATGTAGCGTGTATGCTGCAACATGTCAAAGCAACCGTTCAGAACCTTCAGCTCGTAGCCCTGTGTGTCAACCTTCAGGTAGTCGATGTGGCCGAGCCATTTCGGGAGGAACTTGCGCAAGGGCAACACTGGCACTTCGATGCCAGCACCATTTCTTTTGCCATCGAGGATCGACTGAGTGTAGGATCTGGCTGCATTTTCTGGGAATCTGATCGTCGTCTCCTCGTCTGCAATGGCAGCATTGAAGACGTACGCAAAACCACTACCGGCTGGTGGCTGCTGGAGCTCAGGCAATACCCACTGCTCCCCTTGCTTCTGGAGCTCCACGAAGACATAGCGGGAATCGTCTTTCACTGCCTGTTGAAAGAGCCGAATGTTTGTAGGCAACAGGTCAAAGGATAACACGACAAAGCCGTTCTTGACAGCTAATCTGGTCTCTTTTGCATCGTAACCTAAGCCAATGTCGACCACAAACTGCCCTGCCCCGTCCCTCTCCAGGAATCCCGGCATCAAGGTGTTGCCTTTGAAGCACGCTTGCATCTCGCCAAAGATTCCCAACTCGCCCCGCGTGGCATTGCGCAGCCTCTCCCTTTCTAGAACTTCACGATCGGCTTCGCTCATGTTCTTCGTCACCTGCTCCGGGCATAACCTGGTTTCTTGTTCGGGAACATATGCTCCGCCATCATAACGTTGAAAAAAATGCTTCCCTCCTTATGGCACCCTAAATCCTAAGGCCCAAACCCTAAACCCCAAAAAACAATCAGTACCCTGACAATTGAGCCCCCTAAACCCCAAACCCCAGACCCTTTTTCCTAAACCCTAAACCCTAAACCCCCCCCCCCCACCCCCACAAAAAGTACACTGACAATTGAGACCCAGTCAGCTGGTCCAGCATGACATCCCGGATGGTCCTGTTGACGACCCACCCCATGGCTTCAGTGAAGCTGCCCGCTTCCAGGCTTTAGAATTTCAGGAACATGTTGGGGGGGGGGGGGGGGGTCCGAAAATAGGGGTACCATTTTTTTGGGGGTTCCTTTGAAAGGATTTTACAACATTTTGGGGTATGTAAGGGGTACCCCTATTTTCGGAAATCCCCATATAGGCTTTGCAAGTTGAGAATTGAGGACTTATGCGTGTAAGGGTTCGGGATTTGCGTCGGTTTGGGGTACTGTGGTAGCAAAGGAAGCCACAAGTGCTATACTTCCTGGATGGCGGCTGTTGTACTCGTGATGACGAAGGCTTCCTGCAGTACTGTTGTCGTCGTGCCGTGGCTTCTGCTGTGGCTAGTTCTACTTCGACTTCTCATGAGGCACTACCCGGCAATCCATGAAACAAGAATCATGCACACCATCATTTCGTGGTTGCGGGGACGGCGGCGGTGGGCATGAAACCCTAATACCCTGAACCCTAAACCCCTAAAGTATGGTCCTTTCTGGGGTCCTTATTGCACAGCGGCCTCTCATATCTAGGGCACCCCAAGCAGGAACCATGCATTTGAGAACTGACCATATACAAGTGCATCATGTGGGATGTTGCCCCTTATACTAAGAGGTCCTTAATAGAGACTATAGTACCCCCTGTTATAATCCCGATTAAAGGCTGATAGCATAAGGGGGAACAGCCCCATGTATCACCCTAACCCCTAAACCCTAAACCCTAAACCCTAAAAGCAATTGCCCAGAACCAAGTGCCCCTGGGTCCCTCAAGCAAATCCAAGCCAAGGCGACCGAGGCGCCAGTTTCGTGCAGAGCTTGCGGGATCCTTAGTGGTTTTATCTTAGGGTTTAGGGTTTAGGGTTTAGGGTTTAGGGTTCAGGGTTCAGGGTTCAGGGTTCAGGGTTCAGGGTTCAGGGTTCAGGGTTCAGGGTTCAGGGCTTTAGGGCTTGTATAAGGGCTTATAGGGTTAGAAGGGTGTTGACCGTTATAAGCTATAAGGGCTTTAGCGTTTAGGGTTGATCTGAAGCGATCCATGCAAGAAACAAGCCCGCTCGACACAGGCTAGGGATGGTTTTAAGGCTAGCTACATGGTCCCTTTAGGGTTTAGGGTTTAGGGTTTAGGGTTTAGGGTTTAGGGTTTAGGGTTTAGGGTTTAGGGTTTAGGGTTTAGGGTTTAGGGTTTAGGGTTTAGGGTTTAGGGTTTGGCCCCTTACCTCCTTTAAAGGGTTCTGAATTCTGGAAGACTTACGGAGACTGCTCACATGCTTGCACACGTCATAGGGTTTTTTTGGGTGTAGCTCGTGGCACTATGGGCTTCTCAGTCTTTGCAGGTCTTGGCTTGCCAAGCCTTCAGAGCCGAGCCAACAAATACTACTTGCGTGTAGGCTGTCTGCTTAGAACTAAACCAAATAGTTGTGTTCCCAATATCCGCATCGGATTTTTTGTAACCTCGAAAAAGTAGGTGTTCGGGCCCCAGGTCTCCAGGCTGCGCTCAACTTGAGGAATAGTTAAGACCCTAAACCCTAAACCCTAAACCCAAAACCCTAAACCCTAAATCCGGTGACGGGCAGGGGGGAAGGGGGGCGGTTCTCCTTTAGAGTTCGCTCACGGGCCTCGGCGAGGTTTCTGCAAGCACTCTCTGCGGCAGCAGGCCAGGTTAGGGTTTAGGGTTTAGGGTTAGGGTTTTGGGATAAGGCCCAGGTACCTGGGACCTCTATGCATAGTTTGGGAGATGGCTTGCTTATATCAATGTCAATATCAATATCACTTTGGTGACTATGAACGCTGGGGCGTAATCGCATGAATGAAGGCGGACGGGCGCTGAATCGCAATCCGAGCTCGAGCTCCAAAGCCACGAAACCCAGGACAAGAGCATCTACAATCGGTTTAGGGTTTAAGGTTTAGGGTTTCGGGTTTAGGGTTTACTGATACCTTCGATACAAACCCTTAAGACGAATTGCTTTGAAGCAGGTGAACAGATAACCTCTCGGCTACCGTTTACTACCCAGGCATTCGGTTTGTGTTCATCTTGCCCGCTGTTGTTACCGGAGGGGGCGATTCTTTGAAGCGAAGGTCGTCACGAGCAGGGATTGGCGCAGGCGCGATTTGTAGGATTCTGCATCAGGACTCGGAAAGCCTGGAAGATGTTTTGAGCAGCCCCTCTCAGGCCGCAGCAGTACCCATAGCCGCGGAGAACCTGACATTCGCAGAGCGGAGGCTTGTGCAAAAAAGAGTCGATATTTCGGGATCCACAAGAGAGGGCATCCTTCAAGACTACATAGCCATCTCCCCCTTCCTCGCAGGCGCATCATGCCAGCAGTATAAGAAGAGACTCCCATGCGCATCTCGAGTTTCCTTGACCGCAGTCGAGAATCAGAGTAGATTTTCTCACCCCCACCCCAATGACGACAAAGTCTTCGCGTTGTTTTGCTGCACAGCGCTCCGCTGGAAGTCCGAGGAGTCAGCTTTGGCAAGGCAGGCTGATGGTCTGCCAAAGTTGCCTCTCCACCTTAGCGGTTCTTCGTATCCGGAGTTTGTAACCCCCAAACCCTAAATACCAAACCCTAAACCCTGAACCCTAAACCCATGGAAGGCTTCCGAACTTCGTGGGTGGGTCTGCACAGGTGGCACCCACACGAAGCGAGAAGCTCCTCGGGGTCCCGGCACGGTGAGCGCGGGTTCAGAAGGTGATTCGCCTCCAGCCTGCGCTTTTCCACGAGCTAGAGTGTCAGGGCTTAAAAGTTTAGGGTCTAAAAGGCGGGCTTATGTGGGTTTCTAGGGCTTCTGTGGGCTTATAGGGCTTACAATATGGGTTTATAGGGCTTATGTGGGCTTTTACAGGGCTGCTGGTCTGTAGGATCTAGAAGGAGTGCTGACGTGCACGGCGAGCTCTTTGCCTGCCTGCCCATGCTTCACTCTGCTTGGAGGTTCAGGGTACTTAGTACCCCAATTATAGCTGCACTTCTAACCCAACTGTAGCCCCATTAGGCTACTCAAGGGACTGCTGAGTGGGTTGGAACTACACTTATCAGTGGTTACTACGTACCCTGAACCTCCAAGTGCTTGTGCTTTCACAAGACTGGGCCTGGCCAAGCTTTACTTGCCGAGCCTCTGCGACGGTAAATGCATTGAAACTTCTACTCACTGGCCATGAATCTCTGAAGAGATAAGGACTCTTGGCGCAACTATGATATGGGATGTGAAACTCATTCTGCGGCCGGCTTGCTTAGTTCCGGCCAGCTTGGGACGGCCACATCGTCTTCACACACGGACGGCTTGCATGGCCTTACTGCTTCAATCACCAAGGGAAGAAAAAAGTTAAGCCTTATCATTCCTACTAAAGCAAGGAAACCCACTAAAAGGTTTAACTTTATCATTCCTACTAAAGCAAGGAAACCCAACAAAAAGGTTTAAGGTTCAACTATTGGCTAGGCAAGTGGCACCGTCAGCTGGAGGACCAGATGGCCGACTTGACTCTCTTCAGCTGCCTCCTCTTTGATGGACTCGTGGCTTGATTCCTCGGACGGCTCTGAGTTAAAAAATACCCTCTGAAAGATATGTCCCAAATGATTAAACCTCTGAAACCCAATGTAAGGGAAAATTCTGAAAGAATCATGAATATTCTTAAACCCAGTATAAGGGAAAGTATGAAATAATCATGAATAGTATCCTCTTAAAACCCAACAGAAGGGAAAATATGAAATAACTATGAATAGTATCCTTTTCAAACCCCCCCCCCCCCCAAAAAAAAAAAAAAAAAAATGAAGGAAAATGTAGAAAATATCCCCAAGGGCCTACCGAGACTCTTGGGCCACCTGGGTCGAGTCGAAGGTCACCGTGGTCTTTCGCCGCGCCTGCCTGGCCGGGCCCGCCGGGGCCGCCGGAGCCAGGGGAGGGTCTGAAGACATCGGACTTTCTTGTCCTTACTTCTCTAATAACCAAGGGAACAAATGGGGTTAAACTTTATGATTCCTACTACATAAGGAAACCCAATAAAAGTTCAGACTTCTCAACTGTTGGCTAAGTAAGTGTCGAGACATCGGCTTGGTTGCAGTCGCTTTTTGGTATGGCGCCAGGGCCATGCGCATGCTCAGAAGCTCCTTCTGAAACTCGGCCCAGAGCTCCAACAAGTTCTTCTGATTCTGCGCCATGGCCTCACTCAACATACTCTGAACCTTACTTCTCCAATATCCAAGGGTGAAAAAAGGTTCTTCTATAAGGAAACCCAATGAAAGTTCAAAGTTCAACTCTTGCCTCAGCAAGGAGCCGAGCGAGATACAAGCAGCGAGGCCACTGCGTCGCTCTTGTTGATCTCGCCGCGCATCTTCAGGAGACCCTGCAGGAGCTCAGTGATTTGTAGCCTTGGCTGCACTTCGTAGGGTTTAGGGTTTAGGGTTTAGGGTTTAGGGTTTAGGGTTTAGGGTTTAGGGTTTAGGGTTTAGGGTTTAGGGTTAGGGTTTAGGGCTTAGGTTTCATTAACAAAGCCAATGAACCCCAAAATGCTAAGGATCTAAGGCTACAGTAAAGCGCCACAGAGTAGCGTGCCACTGGCATCTGCGTCAATGATCTCGAAAAGGTTGGCGCGGTCCCGCGGTAGGTCCAGATCATTCATCAGCTTTTGCACGCCCGAGTCTTGAATAATGAGCAAGAACAACTCTTTTGTGATGGCGATTTTGTCCATCTCGGTTTCTGTGAACATGGTGGTCTTCCCCAAGTCTAGCCGGGTTCCCGAACCCATCGAATCGTTATCCATGTCATTGAAAAGTCTGTAAGCTGTTTCGAACTTCTTCAACAACTCGCGGGTGATCCTGGCAATTCGGATAGACTCTCTGCTGTACTGCTCTGCGGTATGGGCATCGCTCTCCTTCGCCGCCTTCATGGTGATCTCCACGTAAACAGCAAGAATCCTAGTTCATCGAGAAGAAAAGAAAACGCCAGGTCCATCGCCACCAAGGTGTAGTTCATCGTTGGGATAATATTTGAAAATTGAATGTTTATTCCTTATTGGGTACCCTTAAAAACCTAAAATGTTACCCAACTATGACAAAGAATCACATTGAAAATTCCCATCGCCACGAGCATATAGCTGACTACGTACGCTGCAATGAAGGGCAGGCCAAACGCCTTTGCCAGTCTCGAGTGAATCGGCTTTCCGTAATCATCAACGCACTCTCCTGTGAAGCATCTGAAGGCGGTGAACATCGACTCCTTGGTAGCCCAGCAACCATCTTGCAATAAGGGTACACTTTTTTTTTGGTTGACTTTCTAATAGGGAACCCCAGGACCAACAAAAAAAGAAGGTAATTACAGGCTAGGGCCTGGGCTACCAAGACTCTGGGATATTGTAGAAGTAAGGTGTCAGTTCAAGCCTGGCAGTCTCCTCATGGTTGCCGATGGTCATGGACGCAAAGCCGGAAATCACGTAGAGAACAACCTGAGTTGCGCTTTAAACCCTTTGAAGATTAGTTATGGACAGGTTCCCTTATAAGGGACCCGTTGCAAATTGTCTATGAAATAGGTTCCCTTATAAAGCAAAGAACGGAAATTGAAAACGATCCCAAAGCACAACCCAGCAACAAAAAGGAGCACGAAAGCCAGAGCCAGGGTCCGGATGCCGGCCACCAGGCCTTTAACCATCAGGCGCAGCTCTTGCATGACCTTGATACGAAAGACCTTTACCTGAGCTGCTGAGCTCATAAGCCCTTAAAAAGTGTTCACTTTTCGGTTCTATAGGGACTCTAGTATCCCAAAAAGTGGAAAAGTGTACTCATCCAGCTACTAAGTTGCGATGCGCACCAAGCGGATCAGGCGACAGAACCTCAAAAGTGACGTGGCAACCAAGTCGGATTCCTCTTGGCCTCCGGCGAACTCCAGAGTAAGATCTATAAGGCCCGTGGCAAAGAGAAACAAGTCAAAACCGTTCCAGTAGATTTCCTTACTTCTCCGATAACCAAGGGGGAAAAAAGGTCAAACTTTAATATTCCCACTAAATGAGGAAACCCAAAAAGTTTAAAGTTCAACTAATGGCGAAGTGAGTTTCGCTGCCACACCAATACTGCCGACAGCCCAAGAGAGTCATGCGGGCGCAGATTTCCACAAAAAGGCAGCACCTGAAAAACCGAAAGGAGCCTTGAATTTGGGCGGGGGGGGGGGGGGGGGGGGGGGCATATACCCTATGCTACTATACTTCCTATTTAGGTAAATGGACCATCAAGCCTTTTAGTTCTCGTTTCGTTATACTTCCTATTACGGTAAATGGACCCTCAAGCCTTTTGGGGCTCATTTCGTCCCCCAGGCACTGGATGAAGAGCTCAAGGGAGGAGAATCCTTCCCAGTCCTGGTACTTGGGATCCGTTTGGAAGCCGATCAGGACACCATTCGCTATAATGAGTATTGCCACAATCATCTCCTTACTTCTCCAATAACCAGGAGAGAAAAAAGAAGCTTAAACTTCATAATCCCTACCAAATAAGGAAACCCAATAACAGTTCAAAGTTCAACTATTGGCTGAGTAAGTCTCAATGTACATGAGTGGGTGCATGGGCTCAGGAGGTGCGGCGAGGTCGTTGATACGGACAAACGTCAACTCCTTACTTCTCCAACAACCAAGGGAAAAAAGAGGTTAAGATTTTATCTTTTCCTACTAAATTTCTCCTACTAAATAAGGAAACCCAAAAAGTTTTTCCTACTAAATTTCTCCTACTAAATAAGGCAACCCAGAAGTTTATAAAGTTCAGCTCTTGGAGAAGTAAGACTCTGCCACCAGCCGATTTGTGTCACCAGCCAGGAGGATTTCCTGCATGGCTTTGAACCTCGAGGACCAAATGAGCCCTAAAAGGGGTTTAGGGTTTAGGGTTTAGGGTTTAGGGTTTAGGGTTTAGGGTTTAGGGTTTAGGGTTTAGGGTTTAGGGTTTAGGGTTCATGTACCTGAATAGGACCTAGGAAGAAAAGTAGTATAGGTTATTTGCCCCCCCCCCCCCCCAATTTTGAGGTTCATTTCGTCCCCAAGGAACTGCTTCATCAACCTGGTGCCGAAAATCTTTTTGATCATCTCATCCTCCTTGGACAGGAAGACCTCGGTGAGAGCTTGCGCCGGGACCTGAGACGAAAAACGCGCACTATCTCCCAGCGTAGTAGAGTAGACTGTGATGAGTTATGCTCCTTCAATTCGTATCTCCTGGAATTCTTGTTGCAAGCACACGAAAATACCTTCTGAAGGAAATCTCCAGCAACGAC